ACTACTAAAATGATATATTATTACATTATCATTTAATTATGGAATAATAATTTTGTTAATTTTTTTGTAATTATTTATATTTATAGTATATATTTCAATTTTAGGAATAATTTTGTATCAAAAATGTGTTTTTGTCCTCTCATCTTGGAAAATATAGGTTTTTGCCACTTTTTGCCAATTTGCTTGGCAAAAACCTGTTTTTGCCAGGACGGTTTTTACCGGTATTTACCATGGTTTTTTCCACCTGTGGCAAAATCTTGCCAACCCTGATTGAGAGCTAAAAAAATCTTACATTGTTGATATACTAACTAGAAATTTTGTTAAGTTATCTAATCAGCAAAATTTAAGTTTTTGTAAAGAGGGTTGCTTTAATGTTTTGAAACTACTGTTACTATCATATAAGCTAAAAATTCTGAAAACTTCTGTAAGAAAAAAAGTGTATAAAATGTTCTTTTTTCAGTGAAAATATTTTATAACAAGGTTATCAATCTAATACTAAATATTATAATAAAACTATTTTTTACAGGCAACTAACTAAAAAAATTATAATTTTTTTCTTTCACACAAAAAAATTTGTAATTTGCCATTATCAAAGTTAAAAAGGTAAATGCAATACAAAAACTGAACCAAATTATAATATGATTAAAAAAAGTTTTTCAAAGAACAGTGCCATAATTTCTTGCCCCTCGGGACTCTGGGGCACAAATTTTTGGCTGGGACCCTATTTAAAACTATATTCTGTACTTCATCTCTAACCGTCTTATTTAGTTATTTATGTATCGTGTTTTGGCGTATTCTATATCAATGTTACAAATCTCTCACAGAGGAAATTTGACTAAAAAAAAACACACGCAAAAAAAACTATTTATGTTGTCCACTCTTGCTTCATGTCCCACAGTAGCCTCCCTTTCCCCCTAAATATAATGCTAATCATAAAATACCAATTTTATAAAACCTCTGTAATCCGGTTACTATATCCAGATATGATTTTGCTAAGGATTTTTCGCTAACTGCGATCCGGAAGTTTCCGGAAATCCAAGATTTGAAGTTTCAAGAAATCATCGATCACATTTTTGTATAAAAATTCTTGTATATTTTATTTAAAAATATTAGAACTAGACTTGGCATCTCTCTTCTTTGTAAATATATTTTTCTGGTAGAATAATAAATGTGATTAGAGATGCAAGTAAACTTATACATAATTATTCATTTACATTTTTCTGCATATATTTATTTAGAATTTTATGTTTTGAGAATATCAATGATTTAAATTAATTAAGACATAATTTTTTTTATATGTGTCATTTTCGATTTTTTACTTGAGAAATTTTCAGGATTTTTGAGTTCGGCTCACAATCATCTCTGCTATATTGTTAGGAAGATCTTTTCAAGATAAGCACCCTAAAAAAAAAATCAAAAAAAAAAGAAAAGAAAATGATTTATTAGATTCAAATTTAGAAATTTCAACTCCCGTTATGGAAATTGAATGAAATTATAATGCATATAAAGTAATGAAATGCCACAAATATATGAAGTTTTAATTGCTTTTGTGTTCTTTGTATAGAATCAATGACATTCTAGTCAGTGCCAATGGAATCTCATTAGAAAATGTTGACTATACCAGAGCTGTACAGGTGTTGAGAGATTGTGGTAATTCTGTCAATCTGGTAAGATACTGACATTTATTTCTTCTATAAAAGGCTCAAAGTTATACGGTCTTCTGTATCTTGCAATTTTTTAAAAATAAAAAATTATTAACAGCTTCCTTTACCATTTTTTTTGAAAAAAAAAATTCTAATTTTTTTTAAAATTTCAGTAATAATTGCAAGGAACTAAAACAAAACATAATACACAAGCTCTAAGTTGAAATGTTAATTTTTCTATGTGTAAAAAATACTTAATATACCATCAGTTTACTATCCCAAATTATCTCGGGTGCAGCAGGTTATCATTATTTTTTGTTTTGCTTCCGACCTATTAGAACCTTATAAAACAAAACAAATTGACAAATTCTGCTATGCCCAAGTTTACTTGAGATAATCAATATTTGCAATATACATCAATATTTGCAATATATTTGCAATATACATTGCTGAGTTAACTCCGGATAATCAGGGAAGCGGTTAACAATCATAGCTAGGATGCTAATAACCTAAACATTCTTTTAAATTGGGATTAAAAATTGCAAAAAAAATAAAATGCAAAAAAAAAAAAAGAAAAAAAATCTCTAAAAATCTCCAAAAATGACCTTAAAAAGGTAAATGTTCTTAAAAAATTTTCAAACCATAATATATAATTTCATATGAATTTTTTTTCATAAAGAAATATTACTTCTTGTATTTATAAATTCAGTAAAAAAAAACACAATAAAATAAATGTAATTCATAAATAAAAAAAAATTTAAATAAATATCTGATAAAGATTTTAAAAAAAAAAAAAAAATTGGTAATTTTTTATATCTTAAACTGTTCAACATCAACTTTTGTTTTTGAAGGATATTTAAAACAGTTTAAATATACAAAAGTTATACAAATTTATAAAGAAAAAAGTATAATTTGTCAAAAAACTGCACTTAAAATGAAGAATTATTAAAATCTGAATATTTTCCTTTTATAGGATTTTTTGTTCCTATATTATCTTACCAAATATGCAAAAATGCTTTATCACCACCCTGCTAATAAAACTGAAATAGAGAAGCATTTATATGAAATTACGTTTATTAGTTTTTATTACAATGATTAACACAAATAGATGGAGGCTGAACAAAGCATATAAATCAAAAACCATATAACACTAGAAAGAAAACTGAATTAGGGGTGCACAACTTTTTTTGAGTGATGGGCCGCATACATATCTGTTCATGTTAATGGCAAATATGATAATTTTTATAATAATATTAGTGTTTTAAGCATTAAATATTTTTATCAATAAACTTAGTAACATATATTTGCGGAAAATTAAATACTTTTAGTTATTTAAATTTATTTAAAACTAAAAAAACTGATAAATATTTTTAAAAATCTTTTTTTATTTTTTGCAATAATTAAATTATCAAATATTTACATAAATATGTACATATATGCATAAATATTGGAGAGGGAGACATAAATTCTAAAAAAGGAAAAAGAGTACAGAATAAAAGTGAAAAGAAAAAAATAACACATTTTATTGAGTAATATAAATTTGAATTAAATATTTTAATAAAAGGAAATTTATAGTATTTAAGCAAAAACCAATTAGAAAGAAATTTTCTATTGCGTTCAGAAGTTCCTGCGGGCTGCACATCAACAGATGGCAGACCGCATGTAGATTGCAGGCAGGATTTGTTGATTTAAATCTGCTTGATTTAAATCACGATTTAAATCATGATTTAAATCAAATGAATTTTTTAAAAATATCATTGATTTAAATCAACTGATTTTTTTATATATACATTGATTTTAAAAGTTAAAAAACAGTGTTTTAAGTAATTGATACTTTTATTATTTTCTTTTCTTAGTTTTAAAATTTATTTTAAATAAATTCCTGCGTTAATTAATTTTAATTAACGAAATTACTTTCTTTCTTGGTGTGTGTTAAATTCCAACACATTAGAAATTACATTTTTAAAAATCTTTTGATTCTAGAGATTGAAAGTACAGATTAAAGTAAACATTTAATACTGTCTTAATATAAACTTGCGTAGCTGTAGAAAGTAATTTCGTCAATTTTTTTCAAAAAAAAAAAAAAANAATGCAAATAATGCTAATTAAAATTCTACCTTTTGATTGAAAAAACATGGAATTAAAATCTACATTATATTTTCTTGGTGGAAAATGTATATTTCTTAAGCTTGAGGTTATATTAAAAAAAATTACCCAAATATGCCAAAAATAGAAAAAAAAAGGCTGATGAATTCAGATATTTTTTTCCTGATATAGCGTCTTCCTTCCCTTTCAAAGTCTATTTGAAGCAGTAGGGTTATCAACTGGTATTTTTTTCTTCTCATAATATGTTTATAGTATCTTTTACATCATTAGATTTTCTATAAAGAAATTTTTTGAAAGAAATTCCAATGAGTACCTACATAGATCTTTTTGAATTTTTTTTTAGCTTAACTTATCTATTTTGAATTAGGATTAAAAATGAATATTTTAATATGAAAATATTAAATATTTATTTATTTTTTGATGAATGACTGCATTTATAAACACAATCTGATACATTGATTTTCTCATTTTAAAAATCAAGAGGAAAAAAAAAGAAATCACAATTTTAAATTAAAATTTTGGTTTGCCAATTGAAACCTTGTTTTAAGTATTCTTTAAATTCTCTATTTCATCTAGTCTTTAAATTTCAATCATGCACTTTCTTTTCGAAATGGTTGCTATGCTTTCAAAGCTATGTATTATAATGAAAAATTATTTTAGTTAGTTAGAGCTACTAAAATATTGTTATGATATAGTTTTAATATTAATTAAATTTTGATTAAACATTTATAAAGTTTTTTTAATCATAAACTAAAATTCTTATAGTGTATTTGAATAAAAATCAAGAAAATCTGATTTAAATTAAAAAAAATCTGATTAATTTGATTTTTTTTTTATTTTTTACAAAAGTAAAAAAAATCACGAATTCTGATCGCAGGCCATAGGTTGTGAACCCCTAAACTAAATGAACTCAAACCATAAATATAAATGAAAACAGTGAGCTATTTAACAGAGGTAATACTTTGTAGAGACTAAAGAAAAAAAAAACGTGAATAAAGCACAAATGAAAGTACATAGATGGACATACTATTGTTTCAGTCTATAAACAAGAACCTTCCTCAGCTTCGAAACGTTTAATGAAGGTAGAGAGACAAACAGGTATAAAGTGTTTTAACCAATAGGGACAGATGAACAAGTTTGAACTTGGAAATAACAAAAGGGAGGTAAACAATTTGATTGTTTGATCTTATTATCCTAAAATCAGGTGTCGAATCGAATAAATTTTAATTTAAAATTGTTTTCTCTTCTGTAAATAAACTAAACTTCTCCAATCTTAGAGATCCTTTTGCAGATATTAATAGCTAGGGTGTTTATCAAATTTCGTGTCAGTGTGGTCTTTTGTATATTGAACAAACTAAATGAACCCTGAAGAAACATACGTCCAAAATTAACCAATCTTCTATCACTCCACACAGTTGGATTTAAAATCACAGATTTGATTTAACTGTCCAAAATTTTTCAACACTGTTCTTTACCTTCCAAACTCAATTTTTGGGAGTCATTATATATTCTAATCATTTGGTTAATGATCCCACTGTTTCCAAAAATTTGGGAGTCCATTTTAATTTAATATGTTGTACTCTGGGGTTCCCACCAAATCCCCTCACACCTGTTTCCTATCTCTCCATTGTATTTCCTTGTTCAAACATTGTCCTTATTGGTTAAACCATTTTACATGTGTTTGTCTCTTAATTTCTCTACTCTCATTTGATGTTTAGACACCCAGGAAGATTCTTATCTATAGAACTAAAGTTATGATATATCAATTTATGTTCTTTCATTTGTGCTCTGTTTTTTTTTATTTTTTTTTATTAGGCAATGAGACATGTGGGAAATTAATGAGGATTAAAAATTGAACAAATAGAGTGCAATAATTGAAGAGATTTCTATCTAGACTTGTTTTTGAGCAAGATTTTATTTTATTTATTTTTAAATAATCAAGAGACCCACATCACTAAGATATATTGTTGACCTGCTGATAAATACATACAACTCTTATACATACTATACTCTTTAAATATAAATGCATGTACTTTTATTTCATTTTATATTTTTATATCATTTGAAATTTTTTTTTATGTTTGTAAAAATAACTTCTTAGCAAGCAAACAAATTTTTTTTATCAAAAAATAGTAATAACTATTTATTATGCTTATAAAACTTTAATTATTTAATTAAACTACCAAGTAAATCTATGATAATTTTTATAAAAAATATTTCTTACGATGTAATTTATATTATTTCATATACATAGCAGATTCTTTAAATAGTGAAGATGAGTTTTAAAAAGTAAGGAAAACAAAAGAATACCTACTTATATTCCTTTAAGTACATCAATTCTCTCCAAATTAAGTTTTCATTGAAAGAAATTTTGTTTCTTTCTGTGAAATTAATTTTCTTGGGTAGTAAATAGATTGTTACTCATATATTCAAACTTTCAAATCTTTGTTTTGATATTGGAACTAACTCACAGGATATTTAGCAATAATTTATTTTTTTTTAAATTTCAGGTCATTAAACGTAAAATAACTGCCTCAACTTTAAATTTAAACAATTCTAGGTCTGTTAAAGTCACTCTTACCAAAAGTAAAAAAAAAGATGGTAAGTATTAATTTAAATTTTTTTTTATTTTTAAATTTCATGTTTAAAACATAACTGTTTTATCATTGTTTGAAATGTCAGCAAAAATAGTAGATTTTCTTTGTCTTTCTTGTAATTATAAAAATGAGGAAATGTTTTAAGAAATAAACATTCTTATAGGTGTCCTACACACATATGTCAATATATTTATATAGGGTAAGTCTAGATTAGATGGCCAGTTTATATATCTCCAATATTTTTTTTATATACTGTAGCAGATGCAGTTTTGCAGGAAGTAGTTTTAAACACTGGGGGTTTCTCCTTGGGCTGTTTCTGGGTCAAATGAGTTCAAATATGTGTGACCGAAAGTCAAAAAAATTTTGATCCTCCAACTCCGCTCCCAGATGATAGTGAAAAGCTCCGCTCTAGTAATTTTACTATACATATATATTTCAGAATTGAAATCTTTAACTTAGTATATAAAAGAAGTCATCATTTTGTGATCAACTTTTAGTGTTAAGGATTTTCTAATGAATGGACTCTCATTTCAGATTTTGGTATAGTTCTCGGTTGCCGTATTTATGTTAAAGAAATCACTAATCATTCTAGTATAGAGAAAGATGGCTGTATCCGTGAAGGAGATATTATATTGAAGGTAAACACTTTTCTCACTCTTAAACAGTTTTTTTTAAAATATCTTTAAAAAGTTGATTAAACTTTTCTACTGAATGTCAATGGGATTCTGATTGTACTCAACCATTTCTGATATTGCAATATTTTGAAAATCTTCATTTAGTATATTATATTGAAATGTTTAAAAAAAATCATCAATTTTATTCCTAACAAACTTAATATTTTTTCATAGTTCAATATTCAGGGTTGCCACTCAAAAGAGAAAACCTGAAAAATACAGGGAATTTAAAAATCACCTAAAATAACAGGCAAAATACAGTGAATTTCGTTTCTTATTTTTGCCTTTTGAAAAATGGTGACCACTCAAATCGTAATCTATGGGATATTTAAGGATGATATTTCAGCTATACTAAACTATTTCATTTACTATAGCACTAAAGTATGTTCAGCTGTTTTTCCGACTATTAAAACTAATAAATATAGTTAACCCACTATAGCTTACACAAGAGCACAGTAATTGTTGTTTCCTCTTAATATATTGATTATAATATGTACAGGGAAAACACAGGGAATTTCTTTTCCAGATTTGAGTGTCAGCAGTGTCAGGCTTGGTATATAACCCTGAATATTAGTGCTGTTTAAGTTTAGCACCATAAAGCCATTTATTATTCTTGTGTCATCCAATTCTATATATTCTTTTTTTTCCTTATGCAATTCAATTATTTACAAACCTTATAAAAGATCAGTGTTTCAATCAGTGGCATTACTATGGCCAGCGTTTAGAGCATGTGTAATCACTTGATTCACTAAAATAACAGGGATTGCGGAGTTCAGCAGAAAATGTTAGGAACTACAGAGTACAGCAGAAAAGGAAAAGAGAACTGGACAAACAATTTTTAATATAACTGTTTAAAAATAAATAAATTAGCAAAATATAATAAATTATAAAAATGAGGTAAACTTTTATTAATAGGTGTAATATTCATCATTGATAGGAAATTTAATTATAAATTTTATTAAAAGAAATTTGTTAAATATGAAACATGCATGGTACCATAAACCGAGGCGAGCCTACCCATTTTTTCAGTTTGTCAACTTTCAAGTGGTCAAACTTTTGTAAATATTAAAGAAAAAAGGCTTTTAATAGGTGTTTCGGAATCGCTATTTATCCCTCTTTAAAGCTGTGAAATCGATTTTAGAAAATATTAACAGTTACGCTGTTACTGTATATTTTTATAGAACTGCTGACAAATCTCTCGTATGGGGCGAGTCTACCCATTCTACTAAAATGAATGTTAACATTGTAAATAATCAAATTTTACTATTAAATTGTTATTTTAGTTACTATATAGGATATTTATGAAGTAAAATTCATAACTTTATTATATATTCCATTTTTTTATTCATAAAATAACACAAATTGAGTATTTGATCGATTATCACATTTTGATCACAGTTTTGTTTTTATAATCATTAACATTATAAAATAACATTTTTTTCTGATTATTGTTGATAAAAATAAATTAAAATTAATATTGTAATTGTTTGGCTTTTATCCTTTGGATAGCTTTTTCCATCTCAGGTGGCATTTTTTTGTAACATTTAAATCCATTTGTTTTGCGAATATAATTTCGAACCATCTGTATTAATAAATAATAATTTATTTAACTTGCATTAAATAAAAAAAGTTAATTTTGTAATATAAAAATTGAAAAAATAGGTAAAATAAACATATTTTATATTTACATTTATATTTAACCTATAAATTTTCTTATTAATGATAAATTTATCAATGCAGAATTAAAATAATATACTCAAATTCATTTAAAATGACTTAATTTTAATATAAACAAAGTTCTAAATTATATTATTATGCTTTATTAAAACTAAATACGAATGGGTAGACTCGCCCCGCGAATTCTGGCTTTTTGTTTACAACAGCAAAACTTACATTCTTTTTGTTTTTTTTCATATAAAATTAATGTAATCTTAGTCTTAGATAAGTTTATCACTTAACCAAAGTGAAAATAGTAATAATAATAATATACTTACGGAGCACCAACTAAAAGTTTGCTGATTTTCAATACAAATCTCTCAAAAGACGTTTGAACAGGTCGGTTAAAAAGACACCAAAGGACGCCAAAAGACCAAAACCGGATCAAACTACTACAGCGCCATCTTCCTTAGAGTCTGAACTAAGTCCTCCGTCAATAAAAATTTTTTTATTTGCAATTTAAAGTAGTTAAAATTAAATAAAACTAAAATGGGTAGACTCGCCCCGGTTTACGGTATATAAATTGATGTCGATTTTTTGCGCTTAAAATTTTCAGGGTTTTTCACTTTGTTTCACAATCACCCCTGGCTGGTTATAAAATAAAATAAAAAACAATCCATATAACCCTATAATAGAAAAATCTCTCATCTCTTCCAGTGTGAAACATTTCTTCACTTCTATCAAAAGGCGGTTCAATATTTCTTTGGTAGAAATCTTCTTATTTCTTGTCCTGACATTTACTTTATTTGCTTGTCCCATGCAAAGGCATTTATTTATTATTTAGAAAAAGTAATGTAAAGTCCTGTTACGATTGTCCCACAGAAACAGTGTTCCTTGGATGTATTGCCTTTTTAAATTTCGCCTGAAATGCTGAGCATTCCCTTTTATTGTGCCTGAAACAGGCATGAAAGTTTTTATCTTTTACTCTGAATTCAGCTTTTTTCAAAGCTTTTTAAGCTCCATACGTTTATTAATTTCAAAATGTTTGATTACATTTATGTAGAATTCAGCTTTTTTTGCTAACTGGTACTTTCATCCCTGCTGAAAGCAAGCTTTAAAATACCTGTCAGACATTGTGTATTTTATCATAGTTATGTAGATTGTGTCGACCTGATAATGTGCTTTTTTACTGTATATTTCACATTTGTTATGCACAATACTGACTATTATTTCTCTTAATAGATCAATAATAACAGCACAGACTGCATGACTCTTAAAGAGGCTAAAAAAATAATTGAAAACACAAAAGAGAAACTGCAACTCATTTTAGAGAGGCAATCTACGGATGGAAAGCAAATCCAAAGCAATGGTATGTTTTCCATTTTAAATTTAAACTATGGAAAATTTATTTCTTTTTCAGAAACTTTTAATAAGCTGCCAACCATTTAGAATTGCTTGATTATATGTGTGTGTATATATATATACAGTCAAACTCCGCTATAGTGAACCTTTAAGAGACTGAAATTTCAGTTCACTTTGCTATATCCGTACTGCAAACAATTTTAACTAATAGTTCCAAACTCTCCCCTTTTATTTCACATTATTTAAATAAATGACCAATAAAATGAAATACAAAAATAATATGTAGTAACAAAAAATGTGTTAACTTTTATTTTTCATCACTCTTTGTCTTGCGTACAAAAAAATTTAGTAATCTTTAGCTGAGGAGCAATCTTCAACATCAGATATACAGATACTTCCTGACTCTCCAATAAGTTTTCCTCGATGTTATTCCGCTTTTTAAACCTGTCTAACCAGCCATTCCAGCACTGAAAATTAGTCTCACCAAATCGCTTAGCAAATTCATAGGATTTGACTTGAAGCATTTGTCCAGATACAGGAAGATTGCGACTTTTTTAAGTGCTGAACCAATTCAATAATGCTGTTCAATAATGAAGCGAACAATAAAAAATGCTTGTTGCTACATTCCATGCTATAGATGGTTTTAAAAATCGGTATATGTACCTATTTTGAAGTAGAAATTTCAAAATTATTACAAAAAAAGGAAAATAAATCAGCCGAAGACAGAAAAAAGTTCATAATATCCAACTTCATCTCCATCTCTTTTTTTAGTTCACTATATAATAACATTGATACAGTAGGGAACCGATTATCCGGACGATCGGGACCATCGCTATTCCGGATAACTGATTTTTCCGGTTTTCTGAATCGCTACAAAAAGCCGTTTTTTTATTGTTAAACCCAACTAAAAAAAATATATAATTGGAAATAATCTTAAAAAGAAGAAAAAACGATGAAGTAATACAGTAATGATTATTTCTAAAATGATGGTATGGTAAACATCTTTCAAAAAAGAAAGAAAAATCCTAAAGTCTTATGAGGAAAAAAATTAATTTTTTTAAAAATGGTGGAAAATGTATCGAATTTCGTTCTGGTTTTTTGGTTTTCCGGTTTTCTGATTTCCGGATAACTGGTTCTGTACTGTACAACACAAAATAAACACATTATGCATGTGTAGCAAGGCATGGGAGCGAACATTTCGTTCACTATATTCGGGAGTTCACTGTAAACAATGTTCACTATAGCAGGGTTTGATTGTGTGTGTATATATACACAGTAGAAAATCTTTTTAACACACAATATTCAAATAAGTGTTTATTACTTACTAAAAAATTTTCTGCAGAACTAGGTAATTACAAACAAATTAATTTTGGTTTGCATAGCTTTTTGAATTTTCAACTCTTAACAAGTAATTAAACAAATAAATGTCAGTTATAGAATTTTCTTTATTGCAAATTTCTTTGTTTACACCGACAAAGATTCTGTGGTTTATTAAGAATTGTGGTTTATAAAATTATGTTATATACTGTATTATATACTTCATCTGTTAATATACATAATACTTAGCAATGCAGTAAGAACGACACTTTAAATTCCTCTAGTTACACTCAATTTGCGCTTTTGTTTTCATATTTTGTAATCTGGCAATCTTGTTGCGAAAATATTTTTAAATCATTCTAAAAAAATTTCCCGTTCATGTAAGTACATCTGATTTCGCTACTCGCTTTAGAGATTTTGTTTTATACTGTTTTTTCTTTTTCTTTTATTTTATTTTCTGTTTTTACGTGTTATTTTTACTTATTGTGTTCTATTTTATTTGTTGTAATTTTTGTAAAAAATTTTTTTGAGTGCTCCTCACACTATTGTATTAATATATTTTGCTTTGGCTATAGTGATACAATATCAGAATGCACTCTTTTTTGCGGATATAATCGTGTGGGCTGATGAAAAGATTATATCTTTTATTTTCCGGTTTTTAAAAAAAAATTTCATCCTTTTTTTTTTTTTAAATCAGTTGTTTGTTATTTTTTTTCATTATTATTTCCCCCTCTTTTTTCATATGTCTATAATTTTCCTTTGTTTTATCTTCATTTAGAACTTATCTAATGAGTTCTGTTTACTTGCAGCTTATATGCAATAAATGAAACTTATTGTTTTTCTTCGTGTTTTCTTGTATTTATTTATTTTGTTGTATATATATATATATATATCTAATCAAGCAAAAGAAAACAAGGAAAGAAACTAAAATTTTTTTATAGAAAACTTGAAAAACTATTACAAAAAGCAAAAATCAATTGAAATAAGAAAATTTAACAACAAAAAGAATCTCATCAGCTCGCACGATTATGTCCACAAAAATCGTGCTTTCTAATATTATATTAATATAGCTGAAGCAAAATATATCGATGCAATAATGTGAAGAGCACCAAAAAAATTATTATTGTAATTGCAGTGAAATCCGTCAAACTGACACTGGCCACCTTTCTGAATTGTTCTGCTTAGTTGACTTTTTTCTTCTAAAGAGCTGAATTTATACAATTTAATAAAAAGATGCAAAACCTTAATAATCTGTCTTTCTTGTATGTAAACCTTAAATAAGTCAAATTTATGTATATAAAAAATTTATTCTATTCTGTTTTATTTTATTCTATTCTAATTCTTCTATTCTATTCTAAACTTGACCGAAAAAAATAAATAGCTTTTTTACAAAGTTTTCTATGATAATGTATTATGTATGAAAAAGAATTTTACTGTAAGGGTAAAATAGTATTAACCCCTCTAAAGGTTGACTATTATTTTTTTAGGCTAATTATATAGTAAGCTAAGCTTCTTGAGCAATTCTATTTTATTCTTTTGTTGCTTTTAAAAACAAAAAGAGTTTATTTTTTGTAGCAAATTGGTTTGTAAGTATAATGAAATGAATTTTAAAATGTTGCAGTAAATACAATGTATATTGTACCCTCTGTATATATATATTCTGTCATGGGTGATATAATATTCTAATTGAACTTTCTTTTGTTTGCATTAGTATTTTAAGAATTTATTTATTGCAAAAACTAATCAATTAAATATTATTAAATTTATGTAACAAATTAAAATTTATTCATTAATCTCATTTAATAAGAAATGTGAAGTAGGTATTTGTTTAATTAAATTTCAGAATCAAATTTAAAAGATTTTATTTAATTTACATTTATTTTGGTAGATAATATACAGAGAAATATATGTATAACATGTATAATAACATGATCAAATAAATGATAGAAAAAGAATAACTTATTCCCCTCTGTAACTTTACTGCTGATGGCCAGTGTAATAAATTTCACTGTATCATTTATTTAAAATGAAAGATTAACTAAATCAAATTAATTTTAAAATGAAAAAAAAAATCCTTTGTAAACAAGGTAAATTTAAACCAAATTTTTTATTTCTGAAATCCTTTTCTTTCATTGTTTTCTGCCTTTCTTAAAATTTACTGAAAAATCTTACTTTAAATTTCCAGCTTTAAAAAAACTGAAGTAGCTTTGTAATAAGTTCAATTCAACCTATTATAAAAAGAGCCTCTTAATTGACATAAAAATTTCTTAATTATAAGATCCCGCTATTATGCATTAATTTGTTCTACAATATAAGCAAAGTGAATCTAGTTTTTTGATCTATATTTTAATACTTTTTATTCCCCCCCCCTCCTTAATGTTTTTGCATCTATTTTCCCATTATGCTATGAAGCACCTCTAAAGTATATGAAGAGTAGAATTAGCAAATTATTTCTCAGAATTTCACAAATTAGAAGACAACGTTATCAATATTTACAATTTGTTCATAGTATTTCATAGAATATATATAAAGTTCAAAATTATGAGTTCTACATACTTGCAGCTTATGCACACAAAATGAAACTTTATGATTTTCTTCATTTTTTTTTGTAATTTTTATATTTATTTATTGTGCTATGTATATATTACAGACTTGGTAAACATTGATACATAATGTTTGGTTTATTAATAATTTGATTTTGTTAACTTCTAATTTCTAGGTGAAACTAAAATTCCAACACCAGCAGATAGAGGCGAAGAAAAAAATTTATCTAGGTAGGTAAATATAGTGGACAAATATACATATGTATAAAACATTTCATTTTAAATGTTTGTATTGGTGCTACAAAATAGGTTGATAATATTGATGCTTTCAAATACATTTAAAACATTAAACATGATGTACAACATCCCCTCCCCTTAAAATGGGTGTTAAAACTGTGTTGCACATTTTATTCACACTTACCTTGTTCATCTGCAGATTTTTTTTTTTAACAATTAGAAATTTTCTTTTTTGATTTTAGCTAAGTTAAATGAAAGAATCATTAATTAAGAAAGTTTCCTTTAATTAAGCTTATTATTACTATTATTATTTTTCTATTCTTGTTTATTTTGGCCCACTGATTTAACAGTAAGATTAAAAGGTCATAGGTATTTTAAAAACATATGCTAAGTAAGCTGTATTTAAAATTTCGTTTGGTGAAATTAGGAAAGCAGGGATAGATATTTCTGTGCAATCAATCAAATGTAGTGTCAATCTGTTAAATATTGTGTTAATAAATTGATTTGAATTAATAAAAAAAATGATATGCGTGGCCCAATCCTCACTATTGGCACCAATGTTTTTCGTGTTAACTGAGGTCTTGTTAAAAAATTATGATTTAGCGTCATATTTGTTTTTCTGTGATTTCAATATAAATGTGCACCTCTATGATTATATATACAGAGGGACCAAGTATTACAATTTATCCATAATTATTACGATTTCATTGGCAAGATTAAGCTTCAAAAACAAAGTACTGTTTTTGAGAATTTCTGTAATAATTTGCTTTAAATACGTTGTTTTCCCCTTAATTATTTTAGAGTAATGAAAGTTTTTTTTGCAACTAATCTATGATAGTTTTTCTTCTCCTACGATTTGTTTCCACTCCTTAAACGATTCTAATAAAATAAAATAAAGTACAAACTTGATAGAAAAACGAAATAAAAAAATGTAAAAAGAAATTTAAAAAGAAAATTTATCTTTCCCCCTAGCTATTCACAAATTAAATCTTCTCTTCTTAACAGAAAAGCAACTGAACCAACCCAATTGTAAAATGTGTTTAGTAGTTGAAGTGCAGAAGTAATGAAGTATATTAATAGTAAATTTATGTATATTTTTATTAGTATTATATATCTATATAAAATTAAATAATGTATATGTACACCATAAAATGATGCTAATTTGAATTCTGTAAGCGCGTACAAGTTGACACCTGTGCTTGGTAATGACGTAATATATTTGCTTTATAATTTGCAACTAGTATATTAACAGCAAATGGTAAATAAAGTACTAATGAATACATAGCATGCATTAAAGGAATCTATTAGTGTGCATGGTCTCTTTTAAAGGACCGTATTAAGAAATCTAGGAGATTATTGCAAACATTGTTTTTAAAATTCTACTCAAAGTAGTTATTTAAATTGATCTATTTGTTGTATTCTGTAAATATTTTACTTAATACCCTCTCCCAAAATTTTAGATTTATATTGTTTTTACATTTTAAAATTTTTTGAAATAAATAAAAATTTATTAAGTTTTCCAGTTGATCTCATGACATTTAGTATTGATATTCAAAAAATTATTGAAAAATGAGTTAAGGCAAACAAATATTTATTAAAATTAAATTTGTTTGATAGAAACATGTATTTTCAGTTCTAGGTTTCAGTCAGGTCGTAATAGGGGACCCATAATGGATATATCTTTGAGCCAGTTAGACCAACCTGCCACTCCTTTACTGACTGGACACGCGAGGGCTCCTTTGATAAATGAAGAAGAACCTTCTCTGCAGAGGCTGCCCCGCATTGATGGTAATACTACTTATTGCAGAAATAAAATCTAAAATATTCAAAAGGCAGAATCTATACAAGTCATGCATTTTCTAAAATAAAGTTTTAACATTGTGCAATGCATGAATGAGCAATACTTAAGCGATACCCTCCATGGCAGAATTGCTTACGACATTGTCACAGGATTTAACAGAGCTCTTACAGAGAGATTTTTCTTTTGAGAAGTACTTCCACTTGCTTTTCAGCAGAAATTTACACGCAAAATTTGCATCACGCATTTAAATAATCACTTTTTGAAGAGCTCAATTTATGCCGTAAATCCATTTTGATTGTTTTTTGGCAGTTACTGACATTGATTTTTACATGGTTTTTAGATATCCCGAAATATTTCAGGCGATGTGGGAAATTCGAATTGTGCATTTGATCATTTACTTTTTTAAGGCAATGATTCTATCGATTTTTTTTTAACAGTTATTGCTTTTGATTTTGACATGGTTTTTAAAATCCAATATTTTTGTTATACGATATTATTTATTACGACAATCAAATCTTAAAATGAAACATGCATTTGAATCATCCCATTCTGAAGAGTCCGATTCGAAGGATTTCGTTATCCATCTGTTTTTCGTCCATTACTGCTACAGATTTAGATGATATTAAATTATTTTTTTAATGTGATGATGATTTGCAAAATGCAATAAAGGAAATAATTAGTGTGTTTCACCCGCCCAACAAAATGCGAGAATATTTCCCATAATATTAGAATGAAAGAAATATTACATGTTTAATTAAAAAAATAATTTTTTGTTTGTTTTTGTGAACAAAGCGTTTTTATTACCTTTAAATAGTAACAAGGATATTGCAGAAAGACATTAGTTCTAGAGAGTTTATCGCCGAAAGCCTAAAAAAAGTCTGCCTCGCGGGCTATACTATGGTGCGTAGCATTTTTAAAAAGTGCTTAAAGGTTGTTGTTTTCGATTTTTTTTTTCATTGGGTGTTTTTGAAAGATGCTTAATTTTCCCTTAGGTGAGATTATTGCACTCTCTTGTGCAACTCTGCAGCATTTTGCAAGATATTCTGAATTTCAGGCTTCATTTTCCACCCTCTGATATTGAACCGAAAAATCTCTTGATCTTTTTATAATGGCTAATATAATCAAGAAAAAGAGTTCTCTGTCAAAAACTAGTCATTTTATCATGATCATGTGAAATCTTTGAAAGTTATTTTGTATTTTGTTAATGTATATAGTGCTTAAAAATATTTTTTGAGTGCTTAAAAGGTGCTTATTTTTTGTTGAAAGATTTGGCTATGCACCCTGTTTACCATGAGACAAACATATTAGTGAATTTCAGGCATGTGATTCTTCTGCCAATTCGTGTAATTTTGCAAAGCTCAAGACGCATATCTTAAATTCACAGACTTTTACCAATCAATCAAATAAAATTATCTCTTACCTCCGCTAATTTAAAATTAAATTTTCGTTAAGTTACACAAATTCTTGTTAAAGAGACGTTTATTCTGCCTTTACAATAACTCTCTTTTTTTTCAAGTGCAATAAAAACTTTTTTTTTTGCACAGATTCATTAGAAAAAAAACTTTCGATGAACTTTGAGAATACGAGACTGGCATAACTTAAGGTAGAATTAATGAAATACTGAGGCAAACACAAAAGTTTAAAATTGAGTATCTTAAAAATAATTCTGAGATGGCAAACATTTAAAAGATTGTTCGATAGAAAAAATGGTGTATTTGCTCGCTTTTTTTCAAAACTTATATGTGTAGCAATTTTGTTGCAAATTGTCATTTGTCAGAAGAATGGCTAAAGTGGGAATGAAAGGTGAATCTTGGGACCCCTTTCAAAGAATTCTATTCCTTGAAACTAGAAGGTGGATTTTACAGATGATTTGACTTCTTAAATGTAAAAGCCGATATAATTTAAAAAAACATTTTATTTTTTTTAGCTTTTTTTCTATTAGTTTTTCTCTGTTCAAATAATAAAAATATTTAGCCACAATTTCGGATAAAAAGTGGATCATCCGTACTTACTTGCTTTGGGACACCTTCAAAGATTTCTATCCCATAAAATAATAAAAATATTTAGCCGCAATTTTTGTGGTGAGGCAAATGTCAGAAAGTTCCCGATAATTTAGAAATGCTGTCAAAGAATGAACCATTAGGAAAATTAGTTAGTGTGTTCACCTCTAATTTGTTTTTCTTTAATTTCAGAATTTTCACCTTCAAGCAAGCAATTTGATGAAGATCCTTTGGCAAGAAGAAACAAAACAGTGCCGTAAGTCTTTCACTGTGTAGATTTAAAGTTTTGAGTTATATGCTTGTTAAAATTATGTTGAAAGCTATTAATAAAGTTTGTTTTAGATCTTATTTTATGTATAAAATATTTCTCTTTTAAAATTTTTTTTTAACAGTTCATAATGAAAATTTACATTATTTAATCCAAATATGCATTATAATTCTTATCTATATTTGAATTATTTCTTGCAATAAGAGCATCACCATTTAGATGATACTCGAATTGGTTATCCGATCGAGGTGAAAGAAAATTCTGATGAGTACGAAGAAAAAATATGTTTTTTTTTTAATGCCTACTTTATTTTTCTGAGAAAATTTACAATTTACAAAACGTGCAAGCAAATAATAAATTCAAAAGAGGAACAGGAATTAGTTTTTTGAATTATTTTTATTGCTACTTAATTAATATCTGTTTTAATCAGTTTAATGCCAAAATTTCTGTAAAATTTCTATTCGAAATTACTTTATTTACTGAGAAAAGAGAGACACCATAATAAAAATGCTCATGAAAAACAAAGGCATACCAGAATTGCCGCTTATGGAAAAATAATAAAGAAAGGAAAAAAAGAACAAACTATGATAGTGGTGCATAAGAATATTAAGTGCAAGTAAATCTTATTTTTAGAATCATGTTTTCCCTCTAAAAAATATGGATTTTTAATTTTTTTTACTTCTCCTAACACCCACTTAGAAATTGAAGAATATAAATTTGAGGTTGTTGACAATTTAGTTTCCTTGGGTTCTGTAACCAACAACAGGAAATACAAAGAAGAATAGCTAATAAATGTTTTAACCCCTTAACTGCCAAGTAAAATTTATGTGATTCACTCCCCAGTGCCACCGTTTTTCGCTCAAGTGCACTTACTTACGCGTTGTTATGGTGAGGGAAAATGATGCACGCCTTGCAATTTAAAAACAGTTTACTTTTACAGGACAAGAAAAAGGAAAGAAAGAAAATACAAAATTTAAATTAAATAATAAAAATACAATATAAAAGATGTTAAAACTTAGCTCTTGTATGACAAATCCTGAAACATGGTTGGATACATAAACCAACATCACATTCATTGCACTGATAGCAGGATTCACAAAGAATTTTTTTCTTGAACAATCAGCACATTTTTCCGATGCATTTGAAGAGGTTGATGGAAAGAATAAAAAGCACCAAATACATTCGGGAAACGAAAGCGAAAAAAGAATAAACCTGACCTTACTCAAAAAGAGATAAGCAAACGATTAATACGATATCACTTTTCCATAACATCCTTTTCCCATTCCCCCTCCTCCGAAATTAGTAATATATTTGCAAAGCAAACACTTTTAAGGTCATTTTACTGCATTCTGAAGTAGGGGTGTAGTTCTATTTATAGCAGCGCAATGCAAAGCATCGTACTTCGGGAAAACGTATATATACGCCTACGGCAGTTAACACATCGTCTGGCCGAGACGTATATATACGCCCTCGGCAGTTAAGGGGTTAATGGAATTCGAAAATACATAAGACTTAATGTAATTCATAGAAAAGTTTTATTATCTCTCTTAAGATCCATTTTAACACAGGCTTGTGAAACCATATCTTGTATGCATGAGGTTATGTTGGGTACCTTTGAGAAAGTATTTTTGGAGGAATTCAAAAAAATAGTGTGTGACTTAGATGTGTTGCTAGAGTTTTAGCACTCACATAATGACATTATTAATTTTATTAAACGACAAAGAATAGAATGGGTAGGCCACATTATCAAAATGGGCCGTACCACAAGAAGAGTTTTCAATGCCGGACCAGTCAGCACAGGAAAAAGAGGCAGGCCGAATTTGAGATGGCTTAGAAAAATACCTTTTGGTCCTAAAAACTGGAAAACACTAGCAGGAAAAAGTGGAAAAAATTCTTGAGAAGGCCAAGGCCCACCCTGGGCTGTCGAGCCATTGATGATATCTGTATTATATTTGTTTCTTCAGGCATATTATTCACTAAAAGTACCCCAAAAGGTACATCATCTATTGATATATATCTCTTAAAGGGCAGATGTGACACCAGTGTCCCTTATATATATATTTTTTTTTTCTGATGCTCTAATTACAAACGAAAGTATATTTTGATATTTTTTTAGTTATTAACAAGCAATATAAATTTTTTTTAATTTTAGTTATTTTTTATTAAATAATTACAATTTTTTCTTCCATATAAAACTAAAATTAATGAATTAATATTTGAAAAAAACTGTATTAACGTCAAGTGTTATCTACTACAAATTAAAAAAAAAAGTATTTAAACTTGAGTGTATGAATCAAAAGTATTTTATTTACGATTGAAAATTTGAACAAGATATAGGGAGAGTGTGAACTAATTAGTAGAAATTGAGAATTAAAGGCATTCTTATCTATATTTAACTATGAAATTATAAATTTGGTGAAGCGAATTACACGTGCTACCACGTAATATTCTTTACTGAATTTATCGGACACAGTGAATATAAAATGATTAAATATTTAAATGTGTGCAATAAACTATTGTTTTGTTCAAAGAGAGGTAATTAGAAATTAACACTGATGTTATTTTTAAAATATGTGAAAAACTGAATCGCTTCTAGTGAAATTTAAAACAATGACTAACGCTCATCCCTGTTTAATGAATGAATTAACATCCAAGTTAAAAAAATGCATTGCAACTGGAATGGATGAAGTATTTTATTAACGATTTAAAATTTGAACAAAATATAGGTAGAGTGTGAACTAACAGTAGGAATTGAAATCTGTTAGATTATAGGAATTTTATTTGTACTAAAATATAAAATCCAAAAAAAAATTATTTGAAAACTTTTTGTTTTACTCAAAAATTTATCAATTATTTATTCTGTTCTTGTATATTAAAAAAATTTCAGTGATGAGTTTCTCTTAAATCTAAATAACTGCAAATTTGAAAAATCATTGTTTGGATGTGAACCGTGAAAATTTTTTACCTTCAACACAGATAGTGTTTGATGTAATAACCATGAATTATTAAAATGTTATAATATTTTCATTTATTTTGACCTAAATTAACACAAAATAATGAAAAATATGCTTCACTGAAAATTCTGTGTCAAAGTTTTAAGAGAAGTTTGCCTTTGTCATTTCAGATTTTTGGTTAAATGTTTGAATTTTGTTTTCTTGTTTTTTTTTTCCTGTTTAACAAACTTTTAATATAGGATAATTTAGACAGCACAATACCTTTAAAAAAGTAGAAAATAAGAGGGTGCTTTATCTGGATTGGTAGAAATACTGCTTGTTAATTTTTAGGACTTCTAAAAAATTCTTTTAATGTTAATTATACAAAAGCAAAGATATTTATCAAAAATGTAAAAACAGACTAATGTACACTATATAACTACTTTTTAAAAACTACTGATTGCAGAACTCTAAAAATGTTGTAAAAATTTTGTCAGAAAAAAATGGAAAGAGAACCTAAAACGCTGCATTTATTTCGCAATTTTGCTTTTATTTCGCAAAAGATACCTTGGGCTTGCATCAAAAGATACTGCCAAATATAGTATCAGTTTATTTATGAAAAATTTAATGCAGAAGATTTAAAACATAATTAGAATTTTCCCTCCCCTTTGACAGTTGAGTTAAGTCAAGAGTAAATAGGCCTCTTAAAGAACAACACCTAGATTAGGGGTGCACAACCTTTTTGAGTGAAGGGCCACTTGCACAGCAGGTTGGCTAACGAAGGGCCGCAGATGTATTTAGACATGTTAATGACAAATGTAGTAATGTTTATTTAAACATTAGCGTTCCATTTTTTTTATCAATAAACTTAGTAATATCAATAACTTAGTAGTGTTCCATTATTAGAATTCATTCAAAAATAAAAAAACTTATACTTTTTTTTTTAAAAAAAAAAAACTTGCTATTTTTATCATATGAACAATAGATTTATCAAAATAAATAAACATTGAAGAAAAGAAATTTTTTTTTTTATCATATCATGCAATATGAAAACTCATTTTAGAATTAAATTCTAATAAATTAAAAAAAACTGCAATGCCCACAGAATGAAAGTAGGAAAAAGTTTAGTCGTAATTAAGTAATATAAATTCAAATTAAATATTTTAATTGAAGAAAATTTATAGGTTTTAAACAAAAGCCTAAAATAAAAACAAAACTGTGATAGTTCAAAATAAAATTCAATGCTTATTTTGTAATGTACTTTATTATTTTATTTTATTAATTATTAGATTTTTTATATCGTAAACATTTTCCTTTTTTTTATCGAAAAAGATCACTTAAGCAACAAAAAATTGAAATCTAAACTACAAACAGTGAGCAGTTTAAAAATTCACGTTTTCCGCCATTTTATGAATTTCTCAAGTTGCAATAACATTGCATTTAAATTAGGGAGGGATGTAACGAGTATTTGGCCCTTCTGTGAAAAATTCAGTTGGTTGAATGATCAGTCAAATATTCGGCAGAATATTTTTTAGAAATGTATTTTTCCAAGTTTTTTTTATTTTTGAGTTTATATAAATATTAATTTTTTTTTTTTTAAAATTATAATCAGACAAGTCAATTTTGTCATTTTTTCGATACTTTGAGAATTGAGAAGGATCCATTTTTTGCAGTTTTTATTATAACCCAGCATTTTAACAGAACGTCTCATACTATTAATTTATTATCACTCTTTCCCTGTACTGTAATATAAATAACCAGTAACATAGAAAAGTGTGATTTTCAGTATTAAAGTTTTGTTTCAGGAACTAAGAAAAATTTGTTTTTTCTGTTTTTCTTTTTTTAGGCATTTTTATTATGACTCAGCATTTTTTTTAAAAATAAAGTTACTAATAAAATTTATTTTATAGCAATTTTTTTTCTTCTAAAATTATGGCAATGAGAAAAATTTAAATTGAGATTTTCGGCATAAGATTTTCACTTAAAAAATTAAGAACATTTTTTCTATCTTTTTATTTTCTTTAAAAAAAAAAAAACTTTTTTTAGACGTTTTCATTATAACGTAGTAATTTTTAATAGCATTTCTGTTGACTTAATTCTTTTTTCTTTGCTTTTTCTGGTAAATGAAAAACTGAGATGCTCAGCTTTAAAGAAAATTTTCAAAAATTAAGATCGATTTTTATGTTCTCTGTTTCGCTTTTCGACATTTTCAACGTTCTTGATTGGCCTTATTTTTTAGAGTTAATTTATGAAAACGTTTTTCCAGGAAATATTATTCTGAGCATTGAAATTTTAGTTTCAGTGTTGCTATGCTGCTAAAAGATTTTGCTATTTGGCCCCAAGTGTACGGCGTTCAGTCGATTTTTTCTTCTTTTTTTTTTTTGCCGCATATTTGATTTTTGATCAAATAACAATTCATTACCACATTCGACCAAATCATATTCGTTGCGGAAATGAAAACGAAGGAAAAATAACTAGGATTTTAGATAAAACTGTGCTGAAATACCGTATCAAAGAGGGATTATTTAATTGCACGATTAATAATCACGTGTCGTAATAACATCATAGTTAAATACATCATCGTCAAAATCATGTGGAAAAGTATAGAAATAATTGGGAAAAAATATATTGATGCTGAACTCAGCACGAATAAAGCATGTCAAATGCATGATTTAAAATTTGTATGTCGTAATTGAACAATTGGAATTTTTTATAATACGTGGGAACGCATAGCAATAACTGCCGAAAAAAATTGTTGAAAATAAAGAAAAAAAGAGTAAAAAATCACTTAGATTTAAGATGAAATTGTCACAAATAAAGTGCACAAAAAGTGATTATTTAAATTTGCGATCTGAAACTCGATTCGTAATAGAAATTCGGGATTTTCGAAATCACGTAGAAAAGCGGAAATAACTGTTTTAAAAAAATTATTTATATTTACGATAAAATCGGCTTAAAGAAAGCGCGTTAAACGTACATTTACTAAAGAATATGTTAAAATTGATTGTGCCAAAACGTGATGACTTAAAAGTGCGATTAAAAATTGCCATTTTTTAATTTTTTTTTATTGTGTTTAGAAGCTCTTGCGGGCCGCACTTCAGTAGTCGAAGGGCCGCATTTGGCCCGTGGGCCGCAGGTTGTGCACCCCTAGCCTAGATGATGAGATTTATTTCAAAAAATAAATTTTTTCCCTGATGATTTTCTATGTTTAGAAAAGAGAACTGGCAGCAGGCGAAAAATTACACATTGGGAGAAAGGCCAAAGTTTCTTGAAAGAGTTTAGTGTAGTGTTGTTTGGTAACACTAGAATTAAAATCAAAGAGCAGTAAAATGGACAATTCAGAAAATTTATTTTAATTTGTATAGCAAAATTGTTGGCTGGAAACATCAGTGCATAGAACTGATATATATTTTTGATTCCTGTAAGAATAAAAATGTTGATTTTAGGACAGAAGCCAGATTTATCTCCTTCCAAAAAGACGGGAGTGTCGGAATACGCTTGACTGGCGGAAATGAGGTTGGTGTTTTTGTAACTGCTGTTCAGCCTGGTAGCCCTGCATCACTTCAAGGTCTTCAACCTGGAGATAAAATTATTAAAGTAAGTGAACTCCTTTTGTTTTATAATAGAAACCACTAAAAAAGTGATTTATCACCCACTTTAAAATTTTTTTAAAGTAGAGATTAAAACTCATATGTATGATCAACTCAACGTCTAGGACTTAAGTTGATCGAAATTTTTCTGTCACATAAGGTGTTAAGCGATTGCTGCAGAATTTTTTTTTAATAAATAAAGTCAATTATTATTATTTTTTTACTTCGATGACAATTTTTAAAGAATGAGATTTTTAAAAGAAATTTATTTTCAGTCATTCAAATGAGAAAAATTATCACTTGAAGGTTTTTAAATATTTATTACAGGGGTCCCCAACCCTATTCGCGCAGGCACCTATCGGTCTAGGTGCTCACACTGCTTGTGCCTAACGATAAAATATTTCAGTTTTCCATTTTCCCGTAAAATGCTATGCAAATTTGCTGTTTTAATATTGATGATAAACACAACCAAAACAGAAATCGCACACAGATATAGGCACAAAGCATTATGTGACTGACCAATTTTCCACTTGTGCCAAGTCTGCACTACATTAATTTCCCACACCTGAAATAAAATGAATCGATAAATGTGTGTGGTTGCCGTACAACAAAGGCATTTTTTAAAAATTTTATTATACTATATTATACTAATTATATTCATATGTTAAATAAATTTTTTAAACTAAGTTTTTTGTGCATTATATGTAGTGTGTATTATTACCTATGTCTACCAACTATAAATTTATCTTGAAAAAATAAATGATGCCTGCCATTAGAGCAATATTCTGGTATTTGCTTTTAATTACAAAAAGGTTGGGGACCCCTGATTTATTAGATTTTTCTAGGAATCATAATTTATAGATAAAACACCGCACAGAAATACAGAAAATTAAGTAAAATGCATTCTAGTGCCAGCACTTACATGATCTAAGGTTGTTGTTATTTTCTTTTTTGAAGGTGAATGAAATGGACATGAATGGTGTTACTCGAGAAGAAGCTGTTCTTTATCTTCTCCACATACAAGACTATGTTAACTTAGTTGTTCAGTACATGAAAGATAGTAAGTGCTCTTTTACGACACTGAAATTTTTTTGTTTTGTTGCATGAATTCTTTCAAAAAGAGAAAATCTGTTGTCTAATAACATATTTTTCATAACAGTTTGTGTACTCCATTTTAAGTTTCATTATTTGAAATATAGTCGACTCTTAATTATTTTTTTTTTTTAACATTTAAGTAAATAGATAAAAGAATTTAGAAATATTAGGATAGAGTACAATTGCTTTAAATTAGTCAAATGCATAGTGATATAAAAATCAAGATATGTAACAGTTTATTTATACATTAATTAATCTATAAATTGAAAGTTATAGGTTAATGACTATGTTTCTGATAAAATTTCAATTTAAAATATAATTGTTTCGATAACTACAGCGACACACTTTTTTCGTAAACTTTTTTTTAAAAATTTAATGTTAGGGCAATAATAAAAATTGTATGTGAGATTGCATTGCATGATCAAGTAATTTTAGAATAAAGTGATTTGATATATTGTCGATTTTAGAATATGACGAAATTGTAGCAAATCAGCGTGGTGATTCCTTCTACATAAAGTAAGCAAATCATTTTTTTGTTGTCAATAGGGTTTTTTTTTAAGGAAGTTGTCTAATAAGTTGTTTTTACTCTCTCTGTAGAACTCACTTCTCTTATGAGGGTTCTGGAAAAGGAGAGATAGGTTTTCAAGTGGGGGAAATATTTCATGTGATAGATACTCTTTACAATGGTGTTGTTGGATCTTGGCTGGTTTACAGACTTGGAAGAACTAATCAGGAAATACAGAAAGGAGTCATACCCAACAACCAACGGTAATTCTTCTTCTTGCGTCATCTGTTGAATAATACAACTGTAGCGTTTTTAAAAAGTGCTTAATTTTCCCTTTTTGAAATTGAGATTTTGTGTTAACCCTGTCAATTTTCGCCATGTATTCTTCAAAAGCGTGGTTTTCACATTGTTCTATTCTACATTTCCACAATTCATTCAAACACGATGCATTTCGGCATGCCGTGCGGTCCGTAGCGTACGAAACCGCCCATCATTTTACATGTTAGAGGAAATACTTGCATGTCCGCATCTGCCTCTACTGAGCTGGGTTCTGTGAGATTTTTGCACCCTCATGTGCAACTCTGCTGCGTTTTGCGCGATATTCTCAATTTCAGACTTAATTCCCCCCCTCTGAAATTGAACCAAAAAATCTTTTTATGGTGGCTAATATAATCAAGAAAAGAGTTTGTCGGAAACAAGTTATTTTATCATGATCGTGTAAAGTCTTTAAAAATTATTTTGCATTTTGTTAATGTATATAGTGCTTGAAAATGATTTTGAGTGCTTAAATGGTGCTTTTTTTTGTTGAAAGATATGGCTACGCACCCTATACGAAGGCAATTTTTTCAAAACCTGTTTGGAAACAATGGCAATTACCAGAAAAATTTTAAAGTGACATTGGACAATCAAGCTGGTTTTGATGTTTCCACTTTCTTTAATTGTGTTTGTATTGTTTTCACTCTTTCATTTTTCAGAAAAATTTAAAGAAATCTGTATCCAGAGCATTTGTATATCCTGAATATCAATATTTCGCATCCTTTTTTATGGATTGATCTTTCCCTTAGGTTTTAGTGAAACCTCTTTTTTTTTAAAGGAAGTGTGTAATATATATGAATGTAAGACAGAATTACTAATATTAATACATCCATTACCCCTTTTTTAAAAATAAAATCTTTATTGCAAATTAATGAAAACAATTGCTGTATTTTTTGCAAAAACTGAACCGTTGAAAACTACAAAAGAAAAAAAGAAGAACTATTCACAAGCACCGAAATATTATAGAATCGTGACACTTTAAGGAGTTCGCAAAAAGTTGTATACATCTGTTAATAAATCATCATCAGCAATGACTCAACAGCCCAGGGTGGACCTTGGCCTTCTCAAGAAGGTTTTTTTCAGGCTAACCTTTTGTTTGCTAGTGTTTTCCAATTTTTTGTTTTTTTATATCAAAAGGTCTTTTTCTGGGCCATCTATCCATCTCAAATTCGGCCTGTCTCTCTTTTGTGAGCCAACTAACTGGTTTGGCAATGAAAACTCTTTTTTTGTGGTACGGTCTTCGTCCATTTTCATAATGTGGCCTGCTCATTGTCGTTTAATAAAATCAATAATGTCAGGTTCGTTATATGAGTGATAAAGCTCTAGTCAAACATCTAAGCCACACATTATTTTTTTGAATTCCTTCAAAAATACTTCTCAAGACCTTTCTTTCAAAGATACCCAATATAGCCTCATCCGTATAAGATATGGCCCAGGTTTCACAGCCATATGTTAAAATTGATCTGAAAAGAGATTTATATAATAAAACTTTAATTTTTCTATGAATTACATTAGACTTTATTTATTTCCTGTTAATAAATAGAATTTTTCAAGTTAAATTAAATATTTTTAAAAGCATAATTTCAACAACTTATAAAAAATTAGATCAAAGGATAGCAAAAAGGCACATGTTTATGCAATTCTACTTACATATGTAGAAGATGAGAAAGAGGCTACAAAAATCTTGAAAAAGTAATGAATAAAGATAAAAAGTAATAATAAAAAATATCAAATAAAGAAAGCAATAATAATACATTTCAAATTGAAGCATTTTATCTATGAGGAAGTAATCAATAATTAGTCTCAAAATAAAAAATAATATTTTTCTGCTAAAAGTAAAAAATTTAAATTACACCAGTTTTGCTCACACACAAAAAAAAAGTTATGACATTTTCATTGTGAAGAAAAAAATATTTAGTGTGTTTTCCCCCTACAAAATTCAAGAATATTGGCCATAATATTAGAATTAAAAAAATATTATGTATTTAAATAAAAAAAATTATTATAATTTTTTTTTGAAGTTGATGCTTCTGTTACTTTAAAACAGCTACATGTATATTTGTTATTCTTAAAAGTATCTTGCAGAAAAATATTATCATTAGAGAGCGTGAAAGCAAGGATCACTCCTAATCATGGTGTATAAAGTGGGTTCTCTGAAAAGCTATTATACCGTCTTTCCTTTCTTCCTAGTCTTCTAGCTCATCCAGCCCTTCTCATTTCTAATTTTCCTTTAGCATTGTTCTTTGAAAATTATAGAGGGCATTGATTTTTCTCCAGTGGCGGCACAGGATGGCACCTCCGTGGCCGAATCGTGGCGACATTGTCGCACATCATTACCAAGTTCTTGCAGAAAGATTTTTCCTTTAGGAAGTAAAAAAATTTGGTTCTCATTTCAGCAGAAATTTTCGTTCTATTTTTATGTAGTTATTATTACTATTGTTTTCCACATAGTTTTTAAAATCCTGTGTTTTTAATACGATATTGTTTATCGATATTGAATCTCGAAATTAAAATGTGCATTTAGTCTGTGGCTATGATTCAGCAACCTCTTTTCGAAGAGTTCAACTCCCATGATTTCAACATCAATTTTTATTTTTTTGGTAGTTACTGCTATGGATGTCACGATTTTTTTTAAATTATTTTTTTTAATGTGATGATGATTTACAGAATGCGATAAAAGAAATAATTAAAGTGTTTTCCCGCTACAAAATGCAAAAATGTTGGCCATAATATGAGAATAAAAAAAAAATTTCACATTCAAATAAAATAGTTATTTTATTTTAACTGAAAAGTTATTATTATTATTTTTCAAGCTGACACTTCTGTTACTTTAAATTTATTGGTTTTTTTTTGTCGTGGAAAAGAGTAACTTTGCTAAGTCTTGAAAAATTCTTGCAATGAGTCATGAAAAGTCGTGAATTTGAAAATCTAAAATGTAGGAGATATCCTGAATTTAAAACACTCTTAATGTCTTGTTAACAGAGCTGAGCAGTGGGCCCAGGAACAACAAAACCAGGCTAAGAAAGACGCTGCATCAGAAAGTCGTGGCAGTTTCTTTAAGAGAAGAAGCGCTCGACGTTCCAAGTCACTTAGCAAAGATCACTGGGAAGACGTTGTCTTTGGTAAATATTGCACAAATATGCTAAACTGTTTTTTTTTTTTTTTTTTTTTTTTTTCTTTTTGCTATAAAGACAAATTTTGTTCACATAAAATGTTAGCAATTCGGCCATTCGATAAGTTTTTTTGTTCCTTAACTAAAAGAGTTGAGAAATTTTGATGTTTTCACATAATTGATAATTTTTACCACTCCCCTAAACAATCATTGAAACAGTAAATAAAATACAGAAATGATTAGCTAAAAGAGTAAGAAATATAAAAAAACCAAGAAAAATCCTCTATCCCTCTTCCAAAGAGTTATTCTATCCTTTTACTGATGTAATAAAGCATTCTAATGATATAACCTTTTAGGTCTACCTCTCAAGATGCTGACAAAGAACCGGAAATTGAGTATTACAATTATCTGCCAACATAATGTGAGGTAATATGTAATGAAATTGAAGCAAAAGAGAGGAATTTTAGTTTAAAGATAAAACATTTTTAGAATAAAGTAAATGTTATTAAATATATGTAATTTCATCTCAGTCTGTTGAAGCCAATTCATATCTTTGCTCTACCAAACATACTCTCAGTGTTTCCCTAATCACTGCTGTTTTATTGTTCACGTTATAAATGGTCTTTCTTGTGGTTGCAAAACTTGCCTCCTATTTTTCCAGTCATGCCAAATTTCAGTCAAGTAACAGTCATGCCAAATTTCAGTCCTCGTTTAATGTGCATCATTATAAGAATCGAAACCAGCTTTTTTCCCATACAGGTTAAGAGAGGCAAAAATTATGTTAGCTGGTTTCTGATAAAGTCATTTAAGGAAAAAAACTACTTTCTTACCTGAAAAATAGTTTTTATTATTTTTCTTTTGTTGAGTAAATCCTGTCTCCTCATTACCTTCACTAACAATGAAGGAGATAAATTACTGTCTACTTACATTAATCTTTATAGACTATTTCATACTGAATGTGTATTTACTTAGAGGAATAAATCAAAGTACAATTTGAAAAAAGGTTTTTAACAGTGAAATCACGTCAATATATATGCTGAGCTATTCTAAACTATCTAATATCTATTCTGTAAAGAAATCACTTTTGTTATTAATAAGCTGGCTATTACGTAATATTTTTTTTTTGTTGCAATATAGAGACAATTGACAGTTTTGATCACTTTAATGTCTTATCAATGATAAGAATTCTGAATGATTGCAACATTCAGTTATACAAAAAAGAAGTTTATAATAAAATAAACGAAATTTAAGGAGATCTTCTTAAATTTGTTTTATGTTCCTTTATGTATCTAAATATAGTGCTTTCAGGCCATAGAAATAATAAAAAAAAGATTTAAGTTTAAAATTCCAAGCTGCTGAGTTCAGTGGTATCCACACTTCCATATTTATGGATAGAGCTGGGTAAAATTTAATTTTTATGTGCATTATGATTAATTATGTAGATTTCTCTATTATTTATGAATGCAACTTTCACATTTGTGCAGTATTAATGCTCGAAATTCTAAATGAAATCATGATGTAGTTCTGGTTACATAATTTTCTCTCCTTTTATTTACAGCCGATGGTGTATCTAAATTTCCTGCATATGAAAGAGTTACTCTTAAGCATCGTAAGTAACGTTAATATTTATCATAATGCATAGCGTTTTTAAAAAGTGCTTAAAGGTGCTTATTTTTGATTTTCGAATTTTAAAAGCCTTTAAAGGTGCTTTTTTCCATTAGGTGTTTTTAAAAAGTGCTTAATTTTCCCTTTTCGAGAGAAAATGAGATTTTTTCTTTACCATGTCCATTTTCACCATGGTAAAGCGTGCTTTTTTATTATGCCAAAGTGTGCTTTTACATTGTTCTATCCAACATTTTTCGCAATCCATTCAACAACAATCCATTCGGTTGTACCGTCAGTCCATAGCGTATGAAAGCGCTAATCATTTAACATGTTACTTGCGAGTCTGCACATGCATCTGAGTTAGATTATTGCACTTTTATGTGCAACTCTGTTGCATGATACTTTCAATTTTAAGCTTAATTTTCGACCCTCAGATAATCGAACCGAAAATCTCTTGATCATTTTATAATGGCTAATATGATCAGGAAAAAGAGTTTTCTGTTAGAGTTATTTTACCATGATCAATGTACAGTCTTTGAAAATTAGTTTGTATTTTGTTAATGTATATAGTAATTAAAGTACTTTTTAGTGCTTAAAGAGTACTTAAAAGGTGCTTATTTTTTGTTGGAAGATTTGGCTATGCAGAAGCCAAGAGTTTTTTATTATGAGTAAAAAAGGCTGTAGTAGATTTGTAACATAACATTTATCTTGTTCATTGTGATTGAGAATTTTTGAGGTTTGTAATATTTATATTATTTTTAATCTGTTTGTTTTATGGTCTGAAATGACAATTCATGAAAAGGACTTAACTTTTTAAAATTTCAAGTTTGAATCTTATAACAGTAATAAACTAGTAAAAATATTCAAATTAGACTTTTTTTCAAATATTGACTTATTTTAGTTAATTTTTTTCTTAAGTATATGCACTGTATTCAATTATTATTACTTTGAGTTCTCATATCTTCCAAAATTTTATTTGATTTTTTGTCCTAACATTCCTCATGAATTTTATCATCTTGAAAAAAATTCATAATATTTGTTGATTTGCTTAAAAATTTACAATGAAAATGTATGAAAAAAGAAATAATGCTTTTTTGGGGAAAACCTATACTTTTCAAATTCTGAATTCTAGATTTAAAAAACTAAATGAACATAATTAAGAAAAGATACATATTTATGGTTATTCTTTATGGTCTAAGATATTCTAATATTTTTTTCTTCTCGCAAAAGTTGCTGATCTGTACTTAAGTTATGGATCAATCCACCCCATATTTCTTCAGAAAATGGTAAAAATAACAAAATCCAAAAGTATCTGGTTACTATTATTTATATTGAATTAATGAAATGTTAATTTAAAAAGGTTACTTTTTGTTGAAATTAAGTAAGTGGTTAACAATAAAAGCAATTAAATTTGAAAATCACTACTTACCTATTCATTCCATTAAACTATATTAATAACTTCATTTTATTCCCTGCGTAATAAGAAGAACATTCCTCTTCTTTTAAATTTGTTAAAACAAACTCTGGCGTAAGAAAATAAAGATTTAATATTAAAAAAAAAAAAAAAAATTCATATAAAGTATTAACACTGTTTCTTTATTTATTAAATATTTATTAACCATTATAAATTAGACAGCAACATACAGAACAAGTACTGAACATAAACCACAACCTCTTCCAAGCAATCCAAAACATCAATGCATCAATCAACTCACAGTTGCAATCGCAGTTATCGCAGACCAAAGTCAAGCATCACTGGCTGCGGTTGGTGTGCAGGTGGGTGCCTACTTGGTTCAATCTGCTCAGGGACCGAGGGTGTGCTGTGTGGGTCCTCGTTAAACTGTTATACCGTAAAGTGCTGAACTTCGCGTGCAAGTCGCCAGGCTACCAAAGCGGGGGTGCTATCCCCTCTGCAGAGGATCAAAATTGTGATGGCATGTCTTCGCATCATCCTCAGGGATGTTTCCCAGACCGTCGCCAATAGCCCATTGTGCAGCTCTAGTGCAACGTAAATGAACTGCAATAACAACTACAAACACAAAAGAGAAATTTATTTATTTTTAAATGAGTCATTTAAAAAAATTTATCGCTTTGTTTTTCAATCTCTCTTATAGATTACTGTACCCCTTGCTGATTTTGCTAAGTGAAAATTGTTTTTATTTTTGTTTTATTAATTTGAAATCTTTCATTGCAGACTATTTCATCTTTATTTATGTTTCTCTATTGGACAATATCTGATAAATAATATCTTTTTATTTCTTTTCATCCATTTTAATGTGTCTTGTTGTATTGTATAGTTAACCTAGCTGATGCTGCTAGAGTCGCTCATTGTATTAAAAAAAAAAAAAAAAACTATTTTCTGTTATTGAAACATATCTGCTACAATTGTGTTTATTTCTATATATAAACAATTTGAAGTTCATTTTAAGTAATATTTATTATTTTTTTCTAATTGAATTAGGAAATTTATTTGTTGATAAATAATGTTTCCTAAAAAAAAAATTGTGAAATCATTTAATTATTCTTGTTGCTTTGTTTGTGTTAATATTTGTTTAAATTATTTGCAGCCAGTTTTATACGTCCTGTTGTGTTGTTCGGATCTTTGGCTGATGTTGCTCGGGACAAATTATTGAAAGATTATCCTGATAAATATGCCTCTCCACGTATGTTACAAATTTTACTTTTCCACACATATCTGTAATTTAAGATTTGCTTTAAAATAAAAACATGATTATCCAACACATCTGAGGTTTGTCATAAATTAGATTTGCTTTTTTAATTGCACTTTATAAACAGAGTCTTATATTTACAGAGTCTGGCTAAGATAGGGACATACAGGGCAGTTGCCCCTGGCCCCACATTAGAGAAGCCCCTAAATCGAATAGAAAGTTTATTTTACGTATCTTACTTAATTGTAATTTTTTTAAACAAAATATCAGTACAGTGAAAAATCCACCAGTCTTATGTTAGCTTCTTCATTAATCTATCGTATGAACATAAAAAAATCTAAATCCATGGCTTTCTACAGGGATGAGATTCTTTCGCGGATTTCCGCTTTTTTTCAAATTTTTCCATTTTTTTCGCTAATTTCCGCTGAAATTTTTTTTTGCACAAGTTAAAATATTTTATGAGGAATTTTATTATTCACGGAGCGAAATTATTGAAGTCCTTATTCCTTCCTCTGAAGTTTCTCTAAAAATCATTTCCTTGGGGGCAAATTTGATGTAGAGTTTCATATTTACGTGACTTAAAAGCCTCATATCGGGATTTATAATCACATTGTTTACAAGTTTAAAAATCGCACTTTTTTTGTCAAATTTTTGTTTATATATATATATTCTTGGATTTCCTCTTTTTTACTTTCTGACTACTCTCATCCCTGTATATATATCATATATATGCACACACAGATACTCCATATTCATTCATAAAAAAACNTATATGCACGTGATTTAAAAGCCTCATATCGGGATTTATAATCACATGGATTACAAGTTTAAACAAAAATTTGACAAAAAAAGTGCGATATATATATATATACTTGGATTTCCTCTTTTTTACTTTCTGGCTACACTCATCCCTGTTTCTAGGGCAGTGAAATACGGTCTTCTGATTGAGCTATTGCAAAAATTTAGCTGAATTCTGCCCTAATGTCAGCAACAATTTTTCACATGACAACAATCAGAAAACTACCTTCACATGATGAATTGTCAGAAAATCAATAAAATGCACAAAACGGTCTGACTATCGGAGGGACTTAATTAACTATTTCTTGTTAAATATTTATAATGAGGTGAAATACCTCAGTTCGATTCTTTAATATACTGAAGTAGTGAAGCAGAGGGTAGCCCCAATTAGGCTAAGCTAGTTTATAAACTATATTTTTATGAATCACAAAACCGAAATAAAGCTTTTTGAAGAGCTACAAATGAGCAAGTCATAATAAAAGTCAGCTTTTTCAACACTGTATCAAAAATTGCATGAATCGTATTGGTTGCTCTTGAATGTAACTATCATACTTGTGGGAATTACAGTTTCCATTCATTCAGATTTGTTTTTAAATAGTATGGCATTTCAATTCACGTGATACATGAATCTTCTGTCAAAATTTATATTCCCAAATCTAGTTGCATGGCAGCACTGTGGCAGAATTTTTTCGAGCAACCTGAGGCAAAACTCTCTAGCACTAATATCTTTTTGAAATTGAGTACAAACCAAAGGGTATCAAAACTATTATGATCATTTTGTTTCTTAAGGGGTCACAGTACCTTAGCAAATTTTTTTTTAAAAAGAAAAGTATAATCATTCATTTTGTCGATGCTTTACATTCTCGCTTAACTTACAATCAATAATTTATCTTCAAAAAATAGTTAAGCTGTTTAATTTTTAAAATTCAGAATTTTTAAATCCTTTAGGCTTTTTTATTTTAACATATTTTCCAAAACCTTTTTTCCTTTGTGCTTGCAATATTCTTCTTAACAATTTTGTGCATTCATTTGTTGATATATCAATTAGAACATTTTTAATAGATTATTATAAAAAAAGTTGAAACTTCCTGTTTGGTATATATAATATGTTGTAAAAATTGTAATACCTCATAAAATGCTTACTCCATGCACAGTTTAAATAAGTGTATCATACTTAAGATAATAAAGTTTACTTCAAAGCTTTATCTTAAGTAGAAAAAATTCCTTACGGATTTAACTAAGATTAAAAGACAAAATTATTATCTATGAGAAAAAGCACTTTAAAGTCCATCTGCTGATCAAGTTTCTGTTTTAAAGGCAATCTAAAATCATTCATAACTTTTTTAAAAATGTAGATAAAGAGATGATTTTTTTTCAGTGCATTTGAAATAGTTTGAAGTTTTATTATAAGCAATAAAAACGAATATCGATATTTTGGTCATTTTTTGGGTACTGTGATCCCTTAAGGAGGTGTCAAAATCATTGATATTTTTTCTTTTGTTCAGAATGTTGTGAGGGCAGAAACTTAAACAGATATATAAATATAATAGTGGAGAAATAAATATTTGATACTTAACTGTTTTAAATCTTTTTAATATTTAATGATGATTGTTTCATAAAAATGAATTTAACTCTTTTAAACAATCAGAGATGATTGTGCTCCGAATTTTTTGTTAACTGCGATCCGGAAATTTCCAGAAATCCGAGGTTCAGAGGTATCAAGAAATCACCGATCACATTTATGTGTAAAAATCCTTGTATATTTTATTTAAAAATATTAGATCTAGAATTTATAACTGGCACTTTCATTTGTAAATATTTTTTCTTTTAGAATAATAAATCTGATTAGACATAAAAGTTAACTTATACAAAATTATTTATTTAAATTATGCTGTATATAATTTATTTAGAATTTCATGTTGCGAAAATATCAATGATTTAAATTTATGAAGACATTAATCTTTTGAAATGCGTCATTGATGATTTTATTCAAGAAATTTTAGGAATTTTGAGTTGGGCTCACCCCTGAAATGGTTAATATCATTTGAAATAAACCATCCCTCTTTTATATGAATAGAACTCTTGAAATTTGTATGTCTTTGAGGAGTCTCTTAAATCTTGCCCTATTGTTGAATCCTGAGATATATTTAGGTGGCTGAGATATTTAAGTCCTAATTGGGGCCCATTCTGCTTCAGTAATGAAGAATGGAACTTTATGGAGGTATTTAAAGTTTTCACCTCAATATAGATATCAAGAAAATTGACTAGAATATAAAATACCTATTAAGTCCCTCCCCTCCCAATGGTCAGACGAAATATCGTTCTGTCCATTTTATTGATTTTCTGACAATTCTATGTTCATGCCGAATGGAATTTTCTGATTGTTAAATTTGTCAGTTACAAAAAATTTATATCCTTGCTGACAGTAGGGCTGAATTCAGCTAAATTTTTGCAATGACGATGGCTCAATTAAGCCAATCAGAAGCCCATATTTTTGTAAATATATTGCATTTTGCAATGTGTAAAAATACAGGCATTTGATTGGCAAAATTTGTCTATCCTAATTGCGACAAATTTTGATGAATTCCACCCTAGAAGGCCATGGATTTACGAAATATAGATTTATTGTGTTCATACGATAGATGAATGAAAAAGCTAACATAAAACTGACAGAGTTATACTGTACTGATATTTTGTTTAAAAAAGAAAGTTCATTAAAGAAGGAAACGTAAAATAAACCTTCTATTTGATTTTGGGGCCCCCTCTGATGTGGGGTCCTGTGTCAACTGCTCTGTATGCCCCTACCTTAGTCAGGCTCTGGTAACAAGACAGAAAGGGGTGTTGGATTGAAGCAGTTCTTCTGTTAAATGATTCTTCACTGTATGTAATGATCTGATCTTGCCTATTTGTAATCTTTATAACTGTCTCTCATTTATTTTGTGCTTCAGTGGATTTTGGATTATAAGCAAAATGTAAGCTTAGCTTATTGTTTAGATTTATTTTCTGAGTTAAAAAGTGCCTTTTAATATGATATTATTTTGTTCTTTATCTAGAACTTGATGGTCACTTAGATGATGTACCTAAAAGTCAAAAGCCATCTGGTATTATTCGACTCAGTGCAATTAAAGAAATAATTGGAAAGGTATCTCAATACAAGTACAATTTTAATTATTGTTTTCATTTATAAGTGCAAAATATGTAGAGGAATTTTTTATCCCATGTAAAGATGGAATTTGTCTTCGTGAGAAACTACTGAGACAATTTTCATTAAAAAATAAAAATTTTTTTTTTAATCCTTGACCTATTTTATATTTTTAGTTGGATCATTCTACAGTATTTTACTTCAAAGCGTTACTAAATTCGATCGATTATTTAAAACAATTTACCTACTCAACATTGTTTAGAATGATAAATGTATTAAAAATATTTGACTCTGAAATAGCTTTTTCCCCTTCTTGTTATGGGGCACATTTCACATGGTGAGTAGCATTTTTAGAAAGTAAAAGGTGCTTATTTTCGATTTTAATTTTATAAAAGCTCTTAAAGGTGCTTTTATCATGGGATGTTTTTAAAAAGTGCTTAATTATACCTTTTCGAAAATGAAATATTTTTTTCTTTATCTTGTCGATTTCGCGATTTCTTTACCATGTCGATTCTATTCAACGTTATCCAGAATTCATTCAACTATAATCTATTTCGGCTCACTGTTAGTCCATAGCATATAAAAACGCGAATAATTTTACATGTTGAATGAAATACTTCCGAGTCCATATGTGCATTTACTGAGCTGGGTTTGGTGAGATTCTTGCACTCTCATTTGCAACTCTGCGGCATTTTGCAAGATATTATCAATTTCAGGCTTCGTATTCTACCCTCTGATATCGAACCAAAAAATGTCTGGATCATTTTATAATGGCTAATATAACTAAGAAACGAGTTCTTTGTCTGAAACTAGTTATTTCATCATGATCATCTAAAATCCTTGAAAATTATTTTGCATTTTGCTAATGTATGTAGTGATTAAAAATATTGTTTGAGTACTTAAAAAGTATTTTAAATGTGCTTGTTTTTTGTTAAAAGATTTGGCTACCCTGTTTCAACTCTTGATTTGTTTAAACATTTCAGTTGGGTCATCCCACAGTATTTGCCCCTTCAAATTGCGTGCTACGAAACTTGATGAAGGAGTTTTAAATAGAATCTATATTGCCGCACAAGAGTAAAAATTCAAATAATAGTGTAGCTTATAGAAAGCATTAAAACTAATTGAAAATATTTTATTTTAAACATGGGACATTAAAATGTACAATCGTAAATAAACGTTTAATATTATCGTAATGCTTTAAATACGGCACCTCTTTTTTCTTCTTTTTTATTTTATATGTGTTTTTTGTTAAAAGTTTGATAGGTCTTATAAACAAAAAGGTTATTAATGTTATCTTTTCTTAAAAAAATTTAAATTACATTGGGTTCAAAATTATGAATGATTTGAAAGAGAAAACAATCTATTCTTGATTTTTTAAGAAATAGTTGTTTTAAAGTACCCATGATTATTCTTTTCTTTTTTTTTTTTTAGTGTGGATTTTGTTTCCGATTTGTTGCAAAAGAATTAATCATTGGGGTACATTTGTCACATTATTTTTACTTATGTTGAAATAAAATCAATTCAATAATTTTTATATGATTTTGCGGAAATTTTAAATTGCGCATTTGAGTCTTTAGCCTTATGCTGATTCCATTGTAAATTTATATAGTAGTTCGATCATTTTTTTTGTGTGGAAATTATTGTTACGAACTAAAAAAACCTTTTTATAAAATTTTATTTCAAGCAAAATATTTCACTTCTGAAATATTATAATTTTATTACATGCTTTTAATGTGATGATTTCATGGTTTTTACAAATGGATTTCCACATGATTTTAAAAATTCCAGTGTTTGTCAGTTGATATTATTTTGACAAAACACAAAATTTGTTAAAGTTATATTACTCATTTCTTCTCCTAGTGCAACTGAAAATTCAGCAAATCCTTTCCCTAGTACCTTACTAGAACTATCCCCACATTATTTACAACAGCCACATTGTTTATTTTTTCATAACTTGACATTAACATTTTGTTTTTACAAAAATGTGAATCTAAAACCCAAATTCTATCATCATTTTTAATCATGGTTTCACTTACTTCCACAAAGTGTGATGTTTAAGTACTTACTACAAAAATACTATTCCAATTCTCTAGTATATATAAAACATGTTAACTCAATTCTATGTTGGTAACTTTTCATAGATGAAGGTTGACATTGTCGATTACTCCTCGCCCCAAACTCTTAAATTTTAAAATCTCTATTTCTTCCATTTTCTTTTTGGTTTCTTCCAATGTCCTATAAGAAATAAGTTTCTTCCAGAGAAACTCTTAAGCCCAAATAATTTTATGTGCCTTTGAAATATACTGGTTGGAAATTCATAACTACCAAATTGTGATTTTTTTATTTTTAGGGAAAACATGCAATATTAGATATTACTCCCAGTGCTGTAAACCGGTTAAACTATGCTCAATTCTACCCCATTGTGATATTTATGCGTGCTGAAAACAAGCACGTTGTGAAAGAGATGAGGTCTCGTCTTGCCAAGTCCAGTCATAAAAGCTCAAAGAAATTACACGATCATGCAGTCAAGCTTGAGAAGCTGTGGTCACATATATTTACAGGTCAGGAGTTATTAAAAAATAAGTGTTTTCGTAATATTTTTTTTCTTATTTTTTTAAAACTTTTTGGAAGTTAACTTGCTTATAATCAGTCGAGTGGAAAGGATCGAAATGTATCTGATTTTTATCTTTGATTGTTTTAGCCACTATCACTCTGACAAGTGCGGATATGTGGTACAAGAAATTGCGTGAAACAATTGATAAGCAGCAACAATCATCCATATGGATTTCTGAATCAAAAGTAATTCTTCATTTATTTTATGAAATCAATTTTTCAGTGATGTTTAATATGTTATTCTATTGAAATATCTTGTCATTGGTTAAATTTAAAGAGAACAAAACCTTGATAGTCACATTTATTTTGAAAAGAATTATTTTAAAAAATTTATCACGAATTTTTAAAACTGCTCGGGTTAAAACAAGTTATTTTTTAAAAAGGACATAGTTAATTGCTAGTTATTTTTGATCTTACCAACGCAGATTTTGAGAAATATTTTTAAATATTCATTTTCTTAATTCTCGATTTATTTTATTCACTTTTTAAACTTAATTTCTTTATGTGAAACGTCAATTATTTTGCTTCCTTATAAATGTTGCCTATTCCTTGTGTAGCATTAAAGGGCTTTCAAGAAACTTTTGTCTTGAACAAAATTGGCACACTTTTGGTTTAACTCATCTAAATACTTATTGTTTCTGTTTGTGTGAAATTATGGTATTGAGGGGGGCATTCATCGATTGGTTTTTACAGTGAATTTTTTTATATTCCAGTTAATTTTTTATTCTAAAAAAAATACAAAAAAAATTAATGCAAATTTATGGAAAGTTGGACCTGCAAAATTGGTCTAAAAAAGAAAATTTTTTCATCAGAAAAGCTGCACAAAATCTAACTGTCTGATAGATTGCAGAATTAACACATCTGTTTCATGTAACAAATTTTATACAAAATAAATGGTTAAACATTTCAAAGTCATTAAAATAATTATTAAATATGCGCTATCACTTAAAACCAGAAATTATCTATTTCAGTAATTTCTCTTCAAATGTATGCAAAATTGTATCATGTATCATGTACAATTGTGCGAAATTGTACAGGTTCAAAATTGTGCAACACAATCGCAAACACATTACGTTAATAACAACCAATTTAATGTATTCAAATTTTATGTAAACCAAGTGAACCTAAATATAATAAAGATAAGTAATTGAAATACAATAAATTGATGAAAATAATCTTACAAAATTGTTAGAGCAATCGCTTTAGTTTAATTTGATTTGAAATACCTAAGTATTATTAAATCTAATTATTAAACAGCTAAAAATCCTTGTAATAATTACAAAAAATAGTAATAATTAAATAAAATAAAATAAATCTTGTTTTGCACGAAATTGTACTCCACTAAACAATCACAAACGCGTTTCTTTTTACTAATTTTAAATTTCTAAAATTTTCACCTGTCAAATGATAAGCAGCTATAATTTAATAAAAAATAATAAAACAGCCAATATTTGAAAGTAATTTTTAAAAATAGATATAAAAAGTAAGCAAATAATCTCGGTTTGCTAAAAATTAAGGCATAAAATGATGGAGAACGCATTATTTCTTTGTAATTAAATGCTAGTATCTGAGATATAAATAAATCCAATGATTAAACTGCTAAAAATCGCTAAAATAAAAGTCAACGTCTTCTCGATTAAAAGAGAGAGCGTTTGCTGTGCTATTATTATATTCTTGCAAACTGTTTTCCACCTGCATTGTTAATTCTTTTAATTATTATTGATCGTTCCTAAATTATAATAGTAGATCGCTGTAAAAGATGAAGAGTAATAATGAAATTTTGGGGAATCAATTCACCTATATAAAATTTTCAAGCTCAAATAGTTGAAAAACACCGTACGGGTCGCATCGTACTGTACACCGTACATACCAAAATTTCATGTTGTAAATCACAAACGCCGCGGCGCATCTCTGCGAAATTATTATGTAAATAGTAAGCTAAGTAAAAAAAAAAATTATCCAAATTTTTTCAGGAACTGACCAAAATTTAGTTATATTTTAGATTTTTTGTGATTTTAAGGAATTTTCTAAAATACATATGAAAATTAATTTTAGAAACAGTTGACAATACACATGGAGACACGTATATTTCTGGCACCAGAATTGAATTTTATTCCTGAAAAAGTTTACCAGGAATGGCGATAGGCCTCATAAATTATTTGTTGTATTATTTTAAGTTTTTTTTTTTGGCATGCCTGCTGGGGGAGTGGGCACAATCACTCACCTGCCCTTAGGGACCTACTTAACCTAATTGAGCCCTCTCTGCTTCACTACTACCAGTAATGAACTTTATGGAGGCTTTTAAATTTTTCCCCTCATTATACATATATAACAAGAAAATTGACTTGAACCTAAAATTGCTATTAAGTCCCCCTCCAATTTTAAAACGAAACAGCGTTCTGTCCATTTTATTGATTTTCTGACAATTCTATGTCCATCATACCGAATGTAGTTCTCTGATTGTTAACTTTATCATCTACCTGCGAAAAATTCATATCCTTGCTGACAGTAGGGCGAACTAAACCAATAAATGTTCAGTTGCTTTTATTTAGAAAAAAATTAAAATAAGGCTTACCTTTATTTAATTTGCTTTTATTTTTGAGAAACTGAAAACAAAGTTATAAAAAAATTTGGCTATTAGTTAAAAAACAAAATTTAAAAAAAAAATTAAATAAAGAGTTTAGTAATGTTTGGACGCTTTTTAATAATTTAACATTAGTACTTGAAGTATTTTTTTAAAAATTTTATTAAAAGTCTTTCAATACTTTTTGTTTTATAATTTGTTAGATAGTCAGTGTCATTTTTAAAGAAATAATTCTTTAGTCAATTTTATTTTTAAAAAACGAAAATAATAATAAATAAGTAAAAATATTTTTACATTTATTAAGTACAGAATTTGACCATTAGTTAATACTACTTTTTATTATTTTAAATAATTGAATAAAAGAGGGTCTAATGATGTTTCAAAAGCATGGTTTTTTTCCAACAAATAACTTTAAAAAAATAATTTTTTTTCTAAAGTGAAAATTTCTTTGGTTTGTTTTCTACTTTCTTTTTTTTTCTTTTAATTTTAATGCACATATGTAAAATATTTTGTTACAGTATTATTATTTTTAAACCAATAAATCTTAAATCATTTTTAATTTGAGAAAAATGAAATAAATCTTGGGTTTGCTTTGACTTCTTTATTATTTTAATTGAAAAAATTAAGCAACGATATTGATATTATACTAGAATATGTTTATAATTAATATTTTTGTTTGTAATAGATTTATTCCTTTTTATTTATTTTCGATTGATTTCCCATAGGTAGTTTCTGAACATATGCTAAATCGCGATGTCTAACAGACGATGTATCACGATTTAAAATTTCTGACCTCAACCAGTCCTTATCATAGTATTTGACAATTAAACTACAATTTTAATTATTTGGCTACTATTTTTGATAAATTTTAGCTCCTGTTCAGGCAACTATTTTCATAGTTTTGGCAACTATTTTCATGCTTGAGGCTCTTAAAGCAACTATTTTTGTTCATTTTTTACTGTGGCAACCCTGCATTAGGAGGATAAGCCACAACAAAAACAGGAGTGACCATGAACTTAAGACAGCTTTCACCATCAGCACACAAGAGTGTGGTAATCTTAATACAGCTCTCCTGGCTTATCACAAAACGGCAATGAATCAACCAGTGGTATCCATTCATTGATTTCTATCACAGCTATAATTCTTGTGGGGGAGTACTGTAGTGTGCCTGCCTCTACAAAAATACAATACCAATTCACTAGTATATACTATAAGCTATGTTAAACGTGATTCTATGTTGGACTACCTTTTCATAGATGAAGGATAACTACTATGGCCACACTATTAAATGGCATAATGAAATGAATTAATTTTTTTTAGCCGGAAGAAGCTATCTCTGATGACTTCCTCTTCCCCATGACTTCCAGACTCAGCTATGCCTCTTCACCAGAGAGTGATTTAGAACTTCCACCCACCACTCGTACTTCAGACCTACAAGGGATGGTAAAAGCTTCGAGTGATCCTAGCATTGCTACTCAGGATGAAATGTCTGGCCCTCCAGGATATAACCAAATACCTGGTTATCCTCGATCAAGACAGGTAACCCTATCCAGACGACAACCTTGTGTCAGAATTTCTTTGTCACCAAAACATTTTCAAGATCCTAAAAGGATTAAAAATTATTTTTAACGCTTTTTTAAAAAGTATTGTGTCTTATGTCACTTGTAGTGATGTTTAACTGGTCAATATTGACGTTTTAACTGACGTCCCACTAGGATGAAAATGAGTTCTTTACCATGTCCATTTTAGCCTTTCATTGTTCTATCCAACATTTTCACAATTCATTCAACAGAAAGTAGTTATTTTATCATCTTTGAAAATTATTTTGTTAATGTACATAGTGCTTAAAAGGAAGGTGCTTATTTTTTGTTGAAAGCTTTGGCTACGCACCCTGTTTTATGGAAGGTAACTTTCAATTTGAATGATAAAGTTCCTTATTTCAAAAAAAAAAAAAAANAAATCAAAAAAAAAAAAAAAAAAATTGAAAGGGTGTGGTTGAGGAAAAAAAAAGTGTTAAAGAAAAGTCTACCTGTAATGAATTTTTTTGTTTGCAAGGAAAACAATATGGAGCTCTTTGTTTGATAAAACATGTGAACACCTTCACAGTTAGTAGTTTCAGAGGTGTTAACTATTATTCTTTATCTATAATTATTACGATTTCATACTCGAGAAGTTTTACAGTTGAGTAATAAAAGTGACGCTTTTTTTGTATAAAAACATACTTATAAAGCTTTTTACTTTTTGTTACTTTATTAAATATATCTTCTTTAAAAGCCATTTTTTTGCACTCCTAAGCATTTGTAATGGAATTGTTTAGTTTTTTTCCATTTTGTACAGTAGGGGTGCCCAAAATTTTTGAGTGAATGGCCACTTGCACAACAGGTAGATTAACGTAGGACGCATATTTAGTCATATTAGCAGCAAATATTATAGTTTTTATGTAAACATTAGTGTTCTAAGCACTAAGCATTTTTTATCAGTAAACTTAAAAACATATTTGCAGAAAATTAAATACTTTGAATTATTTGAATTTTGTTAAAAACTAAAATAAGTGATACTTTTTTTAACAAAACTTTTTCCATTTTTCACAATAATTAATTTATCATATATATATATATACACNTATATATATATTGTGGGGGTGTTATAAACTCTAACTAAAAAGATGTTTACAAAATGAAAGTGCAAAAAATATAAAAATTTTATAGTGATATAAATTAGAATTAATTATTTTAATTAACAAAAATTTATAATGTTTAAACAAAAACCGAATTAAAATAAACTTTTTTGTTGCGTTTAGAAGCTTCTGCGGGCCACAAGTTGCTCACCCCTATTGTACAGTTTCATTTATTTTCAGTTTCACTCAGTCTCCTGAAAGAAATGTTTTCTCTTGGGTGAAATGCCAACCTGATTTTACAATCTCAAAACTTAATAATTTACATTGAAAGTAATAATTTCGAAATCAAAGGGCTACTTAGATTAAATAATATTTTTTAAAAAAGAAATTTGAAATGAATGCACTAAACTAATTTTTTTTAAATAAATGTTCTATAATTTAAAATGTAATTCTTTTTTTTTTTTTTTTTGAAATTTTTTTCTTCAAGTTTACAGATTCTAACACAAGGGGGAGGGAGGACAAAAACAATCTAATTTATTAAAATAAATTTCAAAAGTTATCTTTTAATCAATAAAATTTTTATGCTTTTATTTGCTTACTTACATTTTTAAATAAGTGTCTGATTTTTTTTTTTTTTTTTTTGAAGGGTGGAATTATTTTGCTACTTTTCATTATGAAAAAAATAAAACTAACCTGCTTACTTTGCATTACACTATTTTTATTTAAAATAAAGATAATACTACTTCAGTTGAGTTCCTTTACCAGATGGTAGGTTTACCATACTGCATCGTCTTATTTTTTAATTTCTCAAATTTTTTTTTAAAAAATTTACTGCTCTATATGAAAGTACAATCTGAAACCAGGGATGAGATTCTTCCGCGGATTCGCGGATTTCCGCTTTTTTTCAGATTTTTCCATTTTTCCCACTAATTTCCGCTGAAAATTTTTTTTGCACAAGTTAAAATATTTTATGNAATCTGAAACGCTCTAATAAATAAATTTTAAAAAAAGAAGAGGTATTTTAATAAAATTTTGTATTAATTTATTTGCATTGACATACTTACTGACTTTCACTCACTCTAATAAAGATTTTTCCCAAGTAGTAGTAAAATAAGAATTGAAAAATCAATTGTAAATAGAATTGTCAAACAAGTTTTATATTTTGTCCGAGTTTAAGCACTCTGGCATGCCATTATCTTACATATATGTAAATGTTTATTTATTCTTATGTAGTGGTTGTCAAAATCATTCTAAATTAAATTTTATAAATCCAAAAATTAAATTTGGAAAAAAGAAAAAAAAGAAAAAAAAAACATAATTTTTGCTATCACTTTAATATAAAAATAAAATCACCCAGGAAATCTGGATGAATTGGCAACTATGCGCTAATAATAGATGTGTTCAATAATTATGAATATGTATGTTCTAATAATTACTTATAAATAATCTATAATATTTTGATAAAACCTTTTCATTCTTTTCCAGCCTCCTTTTGATTATATTCAACAGCAGCAAGTGAGTATAATTTTTCCTAGTTTTCATTCCTTGTCAGGGGTCTGTCCAGGCCATATTTACTACCATTTAGCTGTACCTTCACGAATTCAACTTTAGGAAGTAGTTTCACAAAATACTTTTCTTAAAAATATATTTTTGTATCCCTTAAGAAACGATTAATCATCCATATTTTTGTGTTAATTATTTACTGTAATTTTCACAAAATCTCAAAAAGCCCTCGAACAAGAATATCGTAGTTTTCTGTAAATAAAAATCTAAATCTGGATGGAAGTTATATTTTGTTTTATGACTGGTGTTAAACAGTCAATTTTGAGTCCTTGATGACTCCATAGCCTGGTCAATTTGATCCCCCTTGGGTCAATCATTTGATCAAACTAGCCCATACCTTCTCCTGTTTTTTAACAAAGACTCCTGTATTTTACGACTATCTCCTGTTTAATTGTATATTTTCTCCGTTTTTGTTGAAGAATTTTAAAGAAACAGACAAATTTGACGCCAAAATATCCGCAGATGTCAAGTATATTATTCTTCTTGCTTGACAGATTGTGCTTTTGTCAGTACTGTAGTAGGTTTTGTGTTAATATTTTAAGTACTCCTTGCGGTCAGGCTTGCTGTGGGACGTTTTCGTGGTTTTCCTCTCCATGTAACGCAAAATTGAGTTAGTTCCATCAAAAAGTACTCCACAAAGGCAAATTTCTTCCAATACTTGATTGATCCAGGAGGCTACGGATTTGCTGGCTACAGAGTTGAATATTAGTAGCCAGTAAGCCAAAATTGGGTATGCTGTTTAAAAACTGTTTAGAAATGGTTTAAGTAATTATAAATAATAGTTTAAAAAAATCCCCTTTAGATGAAGATTTATACACTTTTTTTTTACTTTGCTAAATGTATCTCCAATTTTGAATTTCTCTTTTTTACTTGCATGATTAAATGTGTGATGTTAAAACTTTAGTCGTAGCTCAAAAAATCTCCTGTTACAGTGTAAAGTCGCATATCCGGAATCGGTGGGACTTCCAGAAGTCCGTATAATAGATTTTTCCGTATAATAGACCCCCAAGGTAAACAAAGATTAAAATGATTTAATAAGCAATCTGAATCTAAGAAGCAAAAAATAAATAAACATTATTTTTAAGGGGAATAATGTTTTAGCATTAGAATATCTAATCAATCAAATATAAAATATTAGAAGAAAAATATTATTGCTGAAAATATGGAAAACGAAAATTTTTTAACAGTTATGAAAATATTAATCCGCCATTTTGAACTAGAATGATTTAAGCAGGAAGGGGAAATTCACGTCATTCTGGAACAAAGCTTAAAATGATCTAAATCTAAGAAGCAAAAAATAAATAAACTTTATTTTTAAGGGGAATAATGTTTTAGCATTAGAATATCTAATCATTAAAATATGAAATATTAGAAAAAAAGATATTGCTTAAAATATAGAAAACGAAAAAAATTGACATATGAAAATAATAATCCTCCATTTTTAACTAGAATGATTCAAGCAAGAAAGGGAAATTCCCGTCATTCATTAAGGTGGGTAGGTTGAGCAGAAAAATTCATTTCCTCCTTATTTGTGAAAGAAAATAAGTGTAAAGAGGAGATCATTTAAGTTGGTGGGGAAGTAACAAATTGTTTTCTCTCCAATCATTGGTTATCAATTAAGCATAAAGGCAGGGCACGCTGATCGGGTTCTCTTTATTTTTTCTTCTATGACTAAAAGAATCTGCTAAAGAAAGAATGTTACTCCCTTTTTCCCCCCGCCTCCTAAATGTTAAATGGTAGGGGGAAGAACGAATGTTTTGTTTCTCAAGGACGTGTATCCTTTTAAACCTATTCAAATTTTCCATTTTGACTCCCCCTCCACCTTAACGCTTGCCCCGTTTACCCTTTTCCACAGTATTTCTTCTTTCAATAAAAAGGTTCCAGGAAATGCCTCTTTTACTAGCCACTTGCATGGGAAAGGAGAGGAGGGGGAAGGGACTCAGTTGCGGTCTTTTGAAAACAAATGTTCCTCTTTTTCCTACATTCCAATGGAGGAGCGTCACTAACGGTCACTCAATGGTCTTGGTAGATCTTCACCTCCCCTTTCTGGTGATTTATGGGTTCGATGCGTAAATCAGTGGTTCAGTGCAAGCTAGAAATATGTTGGTTTTTTTTTTGTTTTTTTTTTAAGGAAAGGGGAAGAAGGAGAGATGTTTGTTTATTTTGATTGTTAAAAAGTGTCCGGGAAAAGGACGTCCGGATATGGGACGTTACACTGTATTTCGTTTAGCCCTTCGTATTTCAGCAGCCCTTCGTTGAGGACTTTTTGGATGGAACTCATTTGTGTTAAATGGAGACCACAATTAGCAAGAGGATTCTCTCTTAATATATTTATTCATTTTGCAATAATCCCCAATTCAGCCCCTCTTATTAGCCCCTTCTTTAAATTTCTGCAATTCAATTATATTTTATTTCTAAAATTCTTATTAAAGAAAATTTCTAAGAAATCTTTAAATTTTATCTGTTTAAATTTATTATTTTCTAATTTCAGGATTCGTTATTGAACACAGATATGAATTCTGCAAAATATATTTCAGGTAAGACATCATTTTTGTTAATGTGAGTCCTATGTTATTATGCGAATCCTATGCTATGTCAGAGCTTTGATACCAAAGGAGTCAAAAAATTATTTATGCCTCATTAAATGCAGGGACCTAAAAGCCTCTCATTAAAAATTATGTAAAAAATAAAGAATTAGTTGTCACCAGTATAAGATGTTGAAATGAAACTACTCAACTAATCATCAAAATCATTCCACTAGACTTATGAAAATACAGATTATATTTTTTGACTAAAAGCGAGGTCTTATTTAAAAAATGAATTCTCTTAACCCGTGAAATCTGTTCTTCTTGATGTCCCAGAATCTTGTTTCATTCATAAAAATACTGATTCCCTTATTAACAGCATGAGTTCTGTGTCATTTTACCCTGACTTGCCTCTCTTGACTACTGCAGCTTTTCTAGTATTGTTTTTCACCTTTATTTTTCGTTAGCAACTTGACGTTTTATGTTTGAATTTTCCTTCCTAGTGAGAATAAGCCCTTATTTTGAAAGGCTTGAAACATGTCAACTTTTATTATCTTCATATTTTTTTTAATTAAATTGAAATTTTCAGTGATATTTCTTCACTGTTTTGTTATTTATTTGCTATCCCCGTAGGGTATGTTTTCTTATTTCCTTTTTCACAAAGATTGTAAGAAATATATGTTAAGGGAACACCCCATACACCCATTATAGTGCATGTATGCACAATATATAGTCAAACTTTGAAATTCCCAAAAATATATATATATATATAAATTTCTTATGCATTTGGATATTGAAATAAAAAAACTCTTTAAGATTTATAAGTACAATAAAGCCTTTTTGCCTTTTTTAACCATTGATTTTGTGAAATAATTCTTTTAACCAAAAAAATTACTTCTGAAAGTTTCAAAATACAGTATTGTGAACTTTCAAGAGACCAAAATTTTGGTTCACCTTATCCATTCTGCAAATAATTTTAATTGATCTTACCAAACTTTCCCCTTTTATTACACATTATTTAAATAAATGATGAATAGAATTAAAATCCAGAGTTGACTGAAAACTACGTAGTAACAGAAAAATGTGTTAACTTTTATTTTTTATTACTCTTTGTCTTGCATACAAAAAAAAATATTAAGTATTCTTTAGCTGATGAGCAATCCTCAACATCAGATATGGAAACACTTCCCGACTCTCAGATAATTTTCCCTGAATTTATGTTATTCCTGTTTTTAAACCTCTTTAACCAGTCATTTGAGCACATAAAAGTAATCTCACCCAATCACTTAGCAAATTCATCGTCTTTGACTTAAAGCATTTGTCCAGATACTGGAAGATGGCATCTTCTTTGAATGCTGAATCCATTCAATAATGAAGCAAACAAGAAAGAATACTCATTGCTACATTCCACGCTATTAATGGTTTAAAAAATCGGTATATGTATTTATTTTGAAGTAGACATTTCAATATTATTACAAAAAAAAAATGAAGAAAATAAATCAGTGGAGGACAGAAAAAAGTTCATAATATCCAACTTCCTTTCATTTTTTGGTTCACTATATCCATAAATAATAACATTATATGTGTGCATTATGGCACAGGAGGGAACATTTCGTTCACTATAAACCGTGTTCACTGTATGATTGTATTTTTATATAAAAATTATCTGAATTGCCCATCATAGCCATTATTAGGAAGAAAAAGAGTTATTTTTAGTTTAATTTCAACACCCTTATGAAGACAAAAACCCAATTTGTCATTTAGCTATCAAATGAAGGATACAGGAAATATTAAAAACTCTTAGCTGAAGTCTTATTTTCATTATTTATCTACACAAACTTTATATTTAATAAGTTTTAAAAATACTTGTATTTTGGAAAAAAAGGCAACATAAAACTAAGAAAATATATTTATTAAACTGCAAAATGTTTTACTCACAACTAGGGAAAAATAATAATTTAAGAGTTTCATGTTGCTCTTATTAACATTAAGTATCTTTTTTCTTTTTTTAAAATTTATATGTCTGTTTTGAACAACAATTAATTTTGACATGGTTAAGATTAAGAATATATTTATAAATTATATTTAAAAATATTTTTGGTTTAAATCAATAATTAAAAAAAAGAAAAAAAAACAATCGAGCGATTTAAGTCATACCAACGCTTCTTAAAAATATAAATAAATAAATATCAACCTCGATAATTGAGCACAATAGAAATACTTTTTTTAGACTTAATTTACTGAATCCCTAGTTTTCCTTCTTTTTTTTTTTTCTTTAGTTGAGGTAATACTTTTCTGAAAAGTTTAATGTTCATCCCCATTGTTTTCAATTCCAAATGGTGTTTTCAGAATGAATGAAATTTTATTTAAAACAATGTCTATGGTATCTGCGTTACTGGAAAGTCATGAATTTTGGTATTGAACAAAATTTGTCATGAAATGTCACGATTTTAACTATTTTTTTCAGAAGAATCATGGAAAATCATGGGTTTATGACGTCAAAAAATCTTAATTTTTAAAATGGAATTTACCTCTCTCCCAATTTCACAGTGTTCTGATGTTCCAAATATCTAAATTTTTATCACAATCCCCACTCACAGTCATATTCTATTAAAATATGAAATGTTTTTATCCTGTTCTTTAAAAATGATGGTTTCTTTCGAAAAAGGAAAGAAAAAACATTATTTCTAGAGCGAATCATCTTTTAAACTTCTGTGATTTCAGAATTTATATATTTATTACTTATTTTTTATTTTATCAATTTAAAATTCTAGTTTAGGCTTTTTATATTATACTAACTTTAAAGAAGAAATAAAACTGGTTTAAATAACTGCATATATCTGACAGTATTTAGTTATTTGATTTTCTATTTTTTCAGCTATTTTATTGCTTCAACTCTTTCTTTACTCTGTTTTTTAAGTTTAATATCAATAAATATGAAGGTGCAGAGTATAACAGTTTTGGTTATGCCTATCATTTCAATTAATGTTATTATAATGCTTTTTTAAATTTATTGTTGTGTTTTCTTTTGAGAAAATAGTAACTTTGGTAATTCATGAAAAATTCTTGAAATTATTCATGGAAAGTCATGAATTTGAGAATCTAAAATGTAGCCCTGAATGTCTCAAAAAATAGAAATTTAAAGTTTTGTAACTACTGAAACAAAGTTATATACTTTTATAAAAAATCTTCCTAAGTCATTTTTGATACATGATTGGAAATGCTGTTAATGAATTTAGGCATAAAATTTTCTTATGGAAAATACAATCCTAATTGTTTAGTCAAAATCGCAGTTGCGGTCTTTTATTTCTCAGAAATTTTTTCAATTCAAATGAAGTCAAATTTTATATTGTCCTATATGGATTGTTTAAGATTAAAAAATTTATGTACATAGCAATTCAACCTTACTTTTTTACCTTTTCAACATTGGGTAATAGAGTTTCTCGACTGAATTGCAATAATTCTTGATTTACGAAATTAGTTCTATAGATATGACAAAAACTTCCAAAATAAGTGGCATTAATTCTTTAGCATACTTAATGTCTCTCCTTTTAGATGAAAATACAATAGTTAAATCAGAAGTACAATGTGCATCCAATCTGCTAATGTACCTGACTAAATTATTCGACGCACTATAAGATTCTATGAAAAATCCTAATTATCAGGTGATACTATACAACTTTATTGTTTTTGTGCAGCTGAAACCGGTTTGCACTTGTTTATGTTCGCGTATCAAATAGTTAACATTGTAATGCAATGTATTAAAAATATATACAAATAGGAAGTATATTAAATAATCTCCGAAATGAAAAACCCATTACATGAATGTTTAAATATAGAAGTATTGCATATAAATTCGTGCAAAACATGTAATTATTGAAAAACAACTGTACGTCTAATTATTTGGTCTAATTATTATAATATACTAATATAATACCTGGTGTAATTAGTTCTAGAGATATGACAGAAACTTCCTATATTTATATAATATATCGTTTAATTTATCCAATCGTCGAATTTATATTATATACACATCTATTGATTTGGTCTAATTATTATAATATACTAATATAATGCTTGATATAATAAATGTTCTATATTGATATAATATATCGTCTAATTTATCCAATCGTCGATTTTATATTATATATCGTCTAATGTAACCAATTGATACACTAACGTAAGCATGTGCAAAACGGTTTCAATTGTGTAAAAACAATAAGGCTGTATAGTATCACCTGATAAATAAGATTTTACATATAATATTAAAGTGCTTCTAATAATTTGGCCAAAGACTGTATATAATTACACCAGAACTAGTAATATTTTCTTATTTTGAAGTTCATAAAAAAATATGATTTTCAGGAAGTGATGGTACTCTAAAAGCCCGATCACCACTCCAAGCTGAACCCCCGCCCAGGGTTGATAGAGCCAACAAGCCCACTCATTATAGAACAGCACAAGAGCGGATGTTTGCACGTCACTCTCTTTTGCTTGAAAGTAAGTCTTCCTATCAGGGGGGGGGGGGAAGCAAAACCACAATTTAAAAACAAAACGGGATTTTTTTTCTCATTTAAAAATTTTTTTTTGTATTATATAAATTAACTGGCTATTATTATTTTATACAGAGATTTTTTAAGTGTGATCAGATCTTTTTGTATCAGCTAATTGTTTTGTATATAATAATTAACTGGCAGACTAATTTAAAATTAAAACCTTAATTTTAAGCTTAACTATTTCCCTTTCCAATTTTTCATAAGTTTTAAATTGAAATAAATTATTTTTTATGTGTGAAAAACATACCATCAGCTTACTATCCTGAGTTATCTCGCTCAAATGAAAAAAGTTAAATACAGTACAGAACCCGTTATCCGGAAATCAGAAAACCGGAAAACCAAAAAACCGGAACGAAATTCGATAAATTTTCCCGCCATTTTTTAAACAAAATTTTTTTTTCTTTATTTTTCTTTCTTTTTTAAAAGATGTTCACCTTACCATCATTTTGGAAATAATCATTAGTGTAATACTTCATCGTTTTTTCTTCTTTTTAAGATTATTTCCCAAAAAAAAATTTTTTTAGTTGGGTTTAACAATAAAAAAACGGCTTTTTGTAGCGATTCAGAAAACCGGAAAAATCAGTTATCCGGAATAGGAATGGTCCCGATCGTTCCGGATAATCGGTTCCCTACTGTATTAGTCTTTGTGAGGAACAACACAAAGTGATAAAAAAATCAGTGAAGTTTTTCCTTTTAAATCCAGCGTGTATACACAAAATACGTTTGCTGTCCCACAGTGCAAACTCTGAAACAAACTTTTTATCCCAACAGATTTTTTCTTCCAATCGACTAAAAACGCAATAAAACGAATTGGGATAATAAATATTTGCGACCTATAGATACTCTGGATAGTAAGGGAAGCTGTTAAAGATAACTTGTGTCTTATCAAATGGAGAATAAATTAGATTTGGAAACATAAAAAGAGCTGGAGACCCACAGTTCTCTAAACATTTTCATAAATAAGAGGCAGAAAAGCATCTAAAGCATGATAATTGCATATTTTAATATTATTTTTATCATAATGTTTAAAAAATTATTTCAATCATTTATGTTCTTTGTTTGCTTTTGGTATGTAGGAAAATTATCTGTTTAAAGTGATTTTTGTCCAGATTATTGATTATGTATTAAAAAAAAATTACTATAGAAGCTTATTTTTGAATAATTGTGATTGTTTTTTACTGGTACACTTAAGGATTTAATTGTTTGTGCTTATCCTGCAAAGTCATTAAAATATTGACTAATTATCTTAATTACCTATGTTTTTTTAAAATTAGTTCTTTAAATTAATTATTTAAATAATAATTTTAATCCTTGACCCTTTTTTATCTGATGTCCTTCATTCTTTTAGATGCCCAAAAGGATCCAACTATTTTAATTATTAATTGTGACTAATTATCTTAATTACTAATGTTTTTTAAATTAATTGTTTGAATAATAATTTAAATTCTTCAAATAATTTAAATCTTTTGTTTTAGGTGCCCAAAAGGATCCACCCGATTATATAAACACAGGGGCTCAACCTCATTCATTGGAGCGGTCAAATGGTAGATTGGTAAGATATTTTATTTTTGTACTTTTACTAACCTTTCAAACTATTCTTTTTTCTAATTTGAATTTATGCATTACTTGTCATAACACTCAAATTCTTTTACAAAAATATTATTTTTAATTGTTATCAGGGCTCGAAAATTAGCCCGTCCGCCCATCCTCGGCGATCAAGAATTCCCCACTCGTCCGCGCAGATGGCCATTTTCCCCTTAATGTTCGTAATACATTTTCAATTTTTGTTATCTTGCAAGAGTCTAGCGCCTCACTTTTAAAATGACCCTCTAATCTAGAAATACAGCAAAATATTGCGTATGGTGGAATTGATGTTTTCTGTGTCTGGGAGTACTGCAGTGGTTAAAAGGGGCTTTTTAGCAATGAACTTACAAAAAAACCCATTACGTACTGGTCTTAAACAAGAAGCGTTAAACGCAATTATTTACATCTACCTAAATGGAAAATCCCTTTCAGATTTCTGTAAAGAAAACTCAGTAAATCATTGGCTTCATTGTGAAACTGGTGAACTTCATATTTGATTAATTTAAAAACGCAGTACCCTCGCATAAATTGACATTCCAGATAACTTGACCTTTGTCATTTAAATTATTTCATAAAAGAAATAATAGGTTACTATTAGTAACCTAGTATTCCTTTTATTACTGTATAATGTAATCCTAGTAACTACTTATTCATTGTGCAATTTATATAAATGTTTGTAATAAATAAGAGAAAATTATATTTTTATTTATTTAGAAGCTACAGGTTAGTTTCAAAGGAGGACGGGTACATTGTTGGACAAGCCGTCCTCGCGGGACGTGTAAATTTCTGTGTTTCTCCGAGACCTGATTGTTATGACTCTTTTCATTCTTTTTTTTATTACAAAAAATGACATATTTGATAGTTTTTTTTAAAGCTTTGCTTAATTTTAAAACGAAGAAAAAAGTATGTAATTTTTCTAGCCAAATTTATAAAAGGTGACAAAGTATTAATCGCTTCCCTTGCCAATTTTTTTGAAAAAAAATAATTGGCAAAGAATCAACCTATTTTTTTATTTCATTAATAAATACAAGGAACTAAAACAAAACATAATACACAAGTTCTAAGTTGAAATTTTAATTTTTCTTTGTGTGAGAAAATATTTAATTTACTCTCAGTTTACTATCCCAAATTATCTGGATCAAACGAGAAAAGTTAAATATTAGTCTTTGTTCACCTCTTCATCATCCGCATTACTTTCGCTCAGGAATGCAATTTTTTTACTCTTTTTTTTTCTATGTAAATTCTTCCACCATCGTATATACAATTGAACAAAACACGTCTACAATCCCACAAATAGCAAACCTCCCATATAAAAATGGCTAAACTTCCAATCACAGAAATTATCATTATTTTTTGTTTTGCTTCCGGCCGAGTAAAAACGTGTTGACAAATTCTGCTATGCCCAAGTTTAGTAGAGATAATAAATATTTGCAATGTGTACATACCCGAGTTAATTCAAGATAATCAGGTTGACTCAAGATAATCGGGTTAACTCAAGATAATCAGGTTGACTCAAGATAATCGGGTTGACTCAAGATAATCAGGTTGACTCAAGATAATCGGGTTAACTCAAGATAATCAAGATCTCAGTTATGAAGGGGGTATGACATTCCGGTACTTTTTGTTAAGGCGAAACCTGGTTCTGAAACTTCTATGAACATTTTGCTTCTTTTCATTTTGTAATTTTAACTTTGGTTTTTTTGAAAAAAGTTAAAATTACAAATTTTATTATTATTGGTTCATAATACTAACTAGTTAAGAGGCTGTTTATGTGCAATGTTTTAAACCAATGGTGCAATTCAGACCATTTGTTAACTATCTATATAACCCTACTTAAAATTTTTTTAACTGTGATCGTGATATTTTATTCCCTTATGGTTTTTTCGAGGATTAGCGGTTGAGAAATTTGAAAAAATAACTTAGTATGGATATTTTTAAATTTTTATTTAAGTATTTATTGAATAATTCATAATTTTGCAAACTCCTATTCATTGTAAATTGATTTTTAAACAAGAAAGATTAAAGGCAAGTAAAAATAAGGAAACATAAGCCAAATAAAAACTTTAATATCTTTAGATGATAATTATTATTAAAAAATTATTTCTTATAATTTTAGATTTTATAGCATTTGCATTCTATACTAATATGTCCTTATTCTATAGCAATATGTCTAGTTCTATAGTAATATGTCTTGTATTTATGTCTTTTTAAATATGTTGTTTGGAATATTTTTTTCTTTAAAATTTGAGATCCTTATTGCTTAATTATGGTGCATTCCTTTGAAAAGTTTTCTCTTACAATGATAATATATTTATTTTAAACAGCATTTTTAAAAAGTGCTTAAAGATGTTCGTTTTTTAAAAGCCCTTAAAGGTGCTTTTTTCATTGGGTGTTTTTAAAAAGTGCTTAATTTTCCCATTTTCAAAATGTGATTTTTCCTTTACCATGTTGATTTTCGTTTCAAATTATGCAAAAAGACACAGTTCACATTGTTCTATTCAACGTTTCCACAGTTAATTCAACTCTAATCTATTTTGGCGTACCGCCTGTCCATTGTGTATGGAAATGCCATTTGTTTTACACAATTCAAAATTTCATGGTTTTTTACAGTTATCAAAAACTATGAACAAAAGTTTTTTTTTAACAAAAGTTTTTTGAACAAAAGTTTTTTTTATTTATTTCTCCAATATTGGCAGGAATGCCTGTTAAATGAAATGAAACTTAAATTATTTATTGTGAATACTGATAATATATTTTGTTTGCAGGGTGCATTTGACAGCTCCTCCTATAGTAGTGACTCTTACAATCAGTATTCATCTAACCCCATGGACAATAAAAATAGGGCTGAACAGCCTTACTCTGCTGCTGCTGCTGGAAGTCCTTACACTATGTATGGGCGACAACAGCCTCCCCCACCTCCAAAAGTGGACAGGTCAAGACCACCACTAAATCTCAATAATAAATACAGGTACATCATGATAATATATAGTCAAACCCCACTATAGAAAACCTGCAAGGGACCGTTCACTATATTCGTTCTGCAAACAATTATAGTTAATCTTACCTAATTCCCCCGTTTTTTATGACACATTATTTAAATAAATGAGCGATAAAATGAAATAAAAAAGTGACTGAAAAATAATATGTAGTAACTAAAAAATGTGATTACTTTTATTTTTTATGGCTCTTCGCCTTGCGTACAAAAAAACTTTAGTAATCTCTAGTTGATGTGCAATCCTCAACATCAGATATGGAAACTGACTCTCAGATAATTTTTCCTGAATTTATGTTACTCCAGTTTTTAAACCTGTATACATTCGAGCACATAAAAGTAATCTCGCCAAATTCATTGGCTTGAAGCATTTGTCCAGAAGATTGCTGAACCCATTTAATAATGCTATTCCACATTGAAGCAAAAAAATGCTACATTCCATGCTGTAAATGGTTTCAATATATGTATTTATTTTGAAGTAGAAATTTCAAAATTATTGCATAAAAAATGAAGAAAATCATATTATCCTCTCTTGTTTTGGTTCACTATATCCACAAAAAATAACATTATGCAGCAAGGCACGAGAGCAAATATTTTGTTCACTATATCCAGGAGTTCACTGATTAAGGACTTGTTGAGTAATATTGAAGAGAAAAAAAACTGTAAAAGGTAGGGGGGGGGATTGAAGCTAGTGTGGACAGTTTATATAAATTTTTATTAAGAAAAAGCTTGCTTATTTTTACTTTCAAGCAGGGTTTCTTAATTTAAATCAATTAATTTTTTTAAAAAAGAAAAAAATTATGGATTTGAATCAAATGATGTTTTAAAAGAATTCATTGCTTTGAAAGTCTATATAGCATTATAATTCGAGATAGTTAAATTTTGTATTGAATTTTATAGTTTTAAAATTTATTGTAAATATTTGGTTGTATAAATAGTCATCAAAATTACATGTGGTCTTTGAAATTATATTTTATAAACCACATAATTATATTAATTATTACATCATGTGATCAATAAAAAATACAGCAGTTTTTAAATTGCATTTTAAAATTTTTAAAACTTTTTTTTTTATATTTATGCAAATTTATTTAAAAAGCAAACCAAAATTGTTATAATTTTTTTTTTATCCTTCTGCATTTTTTTTATCCTTATGTATTTTTTTATCTTTATATATTTGTAAAAAGTAGTTACTGAATATGATCTTTTTTTTTTTGCATGACACATGAAGTTAAAATTCTTCAAATTTTTTAGATTTAAAAATTTTTTGCCTAAACCACATTTTATTCTAATAATGTAATGGTAAATTTCTGAATTTTAAAGTACCTAGAATAAGTACTGAGAATTTAATTTTCCTAATATTGCATACAATATCAGTGTTTAAACTATTGTTGACATAGTTTTTTAAGGTTATTGACAAATTACACTTAATGTATTATTATTCCACTTGGAATTAATCATATGTTTTATAATGTATAACAGTTCTGTTGAAAAAATTAAACAAATATCATAAAAGAGCTCAACTAAATGATTTGGTCTATGGTGATTACATGCAATGCTCCCTGTGGCAGATTTTTTTCGGGGTTTCCGCGACAAAACTCTCTCACACTAATATTTTTCTGCAAGATATTTTCAATAATAAAAAATATGTATGTTACTAATTTAAGGTAACAAAAACACTGTGTTTACAAAATCTATGTAGTTTTTTTACTTGAATATGTAATATTTTTTTTAATTCTAATATTATGGGCGATATTCTCGCATTTTGTTGGGGGGCACACACTGATTATTTCCTTTATTACATTTTACAAATCATCATCACATTTAGAAAATAAATAAATATCATGAAATCTGTAGCAGTATAACATTATGGATTGATGACGAAATCTCGCAAATCATACTCCTCAGGGGTTATTCGAATGCATGTTTCGTTTCGAGATTTAATTGTTGTAATAAATAATATCAGGTTTTAAAAACTATGTGGAAAGCAATAACTGCCAGAAAAATCGATAGAATCATTGCCTTAAAAAGTAAAATGCATGTTACGTTTCAAGATTTGATTGTTGTAATAAATAATATCAGATGTTAAAAACTATGTGGAAAGCAATAACTGCCAGAAAAATCGATAGCCTTAAAAAGTAAATGATGAAATTCGGATTTCCTATGTTAACTTAAATATATCGGTAAATCTAAAAAGCCACGTGAAAACCTGTGTTCAATCAATATGGATTTACGATATCTTCGTAAATTGAGCACTTCAAATTGTAGGTTTCTGCAGAAAAGTATTATTATTTTTTACTTCCCAAAAGCAAAATATTTCTACAAGAAGTCGCTATGCAATTCTGCCACTGGGGGGCATTGCTCAGTGATTTATGAATTTAAATTAAATATATTTCAGTGGAGATAATACCATATTTTATAAAATTTCTATGCTTGGCTTAAAATGGGTTAAAGATAAATTCAGAGTTTTTTTTTAAAAAAAAACTAATGGTTAAGTTATTTTATATGGAAATCTTTGTCATACTGCCATCAAGGTATGATCAGGGTTCGTACAGACTCCTTATACTCCTTGGAAATAAAAAATGTCTCCAAGGAGTACTTGGAACTATTTAGATTTCCAAATTAGTCCTTAGAAACTCCTTATATTATTGCATTGCATAGATGAACTTACTAAGTCTGCTGATGAATTTGTTGTCCAAGCAGGGAAACGAAATGATATGACTTCGCTGTCATAATCTAATAGTTTAAGAAGAACTTTAAAAGAAAAAAAAATTGAACTGCAAGAGTTAGAAGAAAAAAATAACACCAAATAATTTTAATTTTACATGTTACAAGCAAACTTAATGATTAACTGTGATTTTTTTTTTTTTTGTATGAAGTGCCATAGATTTTCTTATGTATTCAAATTTAAAAATATAAGATTGGTAGGTTTTTATGTTAATCTTTAACATCTGTACTATGTACTTTGACAAAATTTATTAAAATATTTGAAAATGGAAAATGTATTTATGTGTGAAAGTGACAACTTTATTTATTTTTCTTGATGAAGTTTAACAAAGTCAAAATTTATTTCAAAATGGGTAGAAAAAATATCTTATGCAAAATATACATTTTTGCGATTTCTTTATAATAACTGCTTTTTAATTTTTTAAAAAAGAACTATCTTTTTATCTTTTACACAAAGTTTTTAAATTTTGGACTCATTGGATACTCCTTGGATTTCACCTTCTGATCTTTGTATGAACCCTGGTATGATATAAGGCAGAACAATTTATTTTGCTCTGAAAGTTTCTTTAAAAAAAAATAACAACTAATTTTTATGCTTTGTTTTTTTAGGCAATTTTTAAGTAATTAATAATAATGTATTTCTAATTCATATGTTATAAATTTAAATCATATATTTGCAGTCATTATGAATTTACTATATTACAACTTCTCATGTAGTAATGAAGTTTCAAATGATATTGTTCAGGTTTATTTTTGACAATACAATTTTCTTTATGAAATTCAAAGTTATTAAAGTACCTTTAAAAAAGAAAAGAAGTATATTATGAAAAAAAAAAACCCCAAATTTAAATAAAAATAAAAAAAACGGATTTAAATTTTAAAAAAAAGGAAAAGAAAAAACAGATTTAAATTTAAGAAAAAAACTTCAATAAGTCCAATATTTTTTTTAAAAAAAGAAAGAAAGAAATAAACGGAAGAAATCATGAACCCTGTTTGGTACATATTTGGCATTTTTTTATGAAATGTAATCTTTATTAATAACAGTACTAAGGTTTGTACTATTTCGATTTTATAAATTAATTTTTAGATAAAAAGCTTTTATTTTAAATATTTTCTCTTTTAATTTTTAGGCACCATGAGGAGCGTCCAGCTCCCCCTTCCCCACCTCCCAAGCCTTTATCTTACGATCAGAGGTAACTTTTCCTTCGACTAAAAATATTAAGCTTACTTCAAAAGTAAATTTTTACTGATTGCTTCTTAAAAATTTTGTAGGATGTCTGATGGGCGCCCTGTTCCACCTCCTAAGCCTGGGCAGTACCAATCTTCGAGGCCATGGCAAAATGAGGAGCCACCTCATCGTACGCACGATTTCTTGCCCCCGAGCCACCCGTCTTCGGAAATGATGCCACCGCCCTATTCCGCCAACCAAAGAAGTCGCAACAGTTTTTCCGTGCAGTCACCGCCCTACTACTCGCCACCTCGAAACTACGCACTGAACGACGTGCCGCCCAAGCATTCTCCTTCGGAAGATGCACGCCGGCCCTACAAGTCCGACGACAACGGGGGTTTTGATTCGGGTCATGGGAGCAGCCTGGACAGGAACTATGATGTTCGCTCCTATACCAAAAGCATGGGAAATCCACCACAATGGCCTGCAGCAGTTCATATGAATGGGGGAGGACCCTACCATAATGTAACATACAGAGGACCCCCCAGGAGAGAACCTATGTACCCTCCTCCGTATGACCACCATTCTTCTCCGCCCCCTCCGTCCAGCCTTATTGACCTCTCCAACAGGGAAAACAGAGGCAGTGCTTTTGAACTCTATAAAAAACCTCTTATTTCCTCCAAATGACCTATAAAATTATTATTTATTGAATTTGCAGAATTATTTTCAGTCAAATCCATCATCGAAACCTCTGGTTAAGACTTATTATTTTCTGCCCGCCTGGAAAGTTCCAGTATTGTGTCATGATTTTAACTATGGAAAGTCATGGATTTAGGTCGTCGAAAAATCTAATTTTTGAAATGAAATTTACCCCAATTTCATGGTGTTCCGAATATCTGAATTTGTAACAAAATTCCCACTCACAGTCATATTTTTATTAAAATATAAAATGTTTTTATCGTGTTTTTTAAAAATGGTGTTCTTTCAAAAAAATTAAAGAAAAAAAGCAAATTATCATTATCTTTTAAACTTCTGTGATTTCAGAATTTTTGTTATTATTTTTATTTTATCAATTTAAAATTCTAGTTGCAGCAAGCCAGTCATTGGCGATTTATTTTATTCCGAAATCAGAACAGAAAAATCAGGAGTATTTCTTTCATTCCGATGAACGAGAAAAATGTCTTTAGAATATAGTTCCACAGAAAAAAGGAAGAAAAAAAAATTCTTCGTTTTTGTATTTTTTTCTGCTATTTTTTGGCTTCAACTCTTTCTTTGCTCTGTATTTTAAATTTGAAATCTATAAATATGACGAAACAGAGTACAACAGTTTTGTTTATACCTATCATTTCGATTATTGTTATTATAATGCTTTTTTAAATTTATTGTTGTGTTTTTGTTGCAAGAAATAGTAACTTTGGTAATTCATTAAAAATTCTTTGAATGAGTCATGGATTTTAAAATCTTAAATGTAGCAGATAACCTGTATTTAAAAACTATGATCTGTGATTGCAGCATGTATTTCAACTGTTACATTATGAACTGTTAGCCGATGAAAGAATTAAATTTTTTTCAAATGGCTCTACCCAGCGAACAAATTGAAAAGGAATGGGGGGGTGGACTAAATTTGACCTTTGCAGTTGCTGTTCAAATTTCAAGATGATACAACAAACAGTTCTGAAGTTATAAGAAGGATACACAGACAAACTCTTCATTTTATTATTAGAGATAAGTAGGTTTTAGTTGTATTATATTTATAAACTTTACACAAAAGTAACTAGTTATTGTTTAGTAATATGTTAAAAAATTTTTTTTGATTCAAATTCGTGATTTTTAAAAAAAAAAAATTAAAGGAATTTACGTTACGATTGAATAAAATATCAAATTTTAATATTGACTATAAGCCACCAACCTTCTGACTGCAGGTTTTGATGCTGAAACAGTCCATTTATTTCCTTCTTTGTGGTTATGTATTCTCTGGGATATTTAAATCTGATATTTATTCTAGTTATAAAATGCAGCTTGTTTTAAATTTCATTGTCAGTTTTTTTAACGTGTGGAGTCTATTTTGGGGAACGTATGTGATCTGATAGACGACATATCTTGATGCACAAAAATGCTCTTTTAACTCAAAGACTCGTTTCAACGAAGTTTTATTTTACCGAGAGTTTGTTCTTTATTAATGAATAAAACTTCAAATAGTTGTAAAAAATGCATTGAAAATAATATCCAGCCTTTTCTATAAATAATATTGTACATCAAGGTAAGGGGCCGTTCAAAAAGTACGTACATCCCGAAGGGGGGGGAGGGGATTTGCTATTATGTACGGTTTTGTACGATGGGGAGGGGGGGAGGTATTATACAAAGTACGTACTTTATAAACATACACCAAATTTAAATTTGACTTTATCCTACACACTCCTTAAGTAAATATTTAATTTTATTTAAAACATAATTATTTTAATTTTTATGAAAAAGGGGGGTAGACTAATAAAATGTACGTACTCTAAAGGGGGGGGAGTAAGACCTTATGTACGGTAATGTACGAAGGGGGGGGAGGGGTTTAAAATTTCTCCATTTTTGTGTACGTACTTTTTGAACGGCCCCTAATTGCAAAATAAGATCCCAGATAGCAAAATAAGGTTTATTTTCACTCAACAGAAACCTTTTTATGTAAACCTAAAAAGGTTTGTTATGCGGTTTACGTGTAAACCTTCTAACCTTTTTAACGAGATCTGTGACAATCTGCTCTGCACATCACCCTAATCCGAAACCTTGGAAAACAACCTTCTTTATAAAAACCTTAAATCGAGGTTGAATTAGGGTTTTCAAGCTTCCAAAAATCCTTTAATAAAGCAAAGTGAAAATGATCTTAAATCTAGATAATTATAAAGGTTTCTTTCTGCAAAGTCTTGTATGCTCAGCTAAAATCCACCCTGTCATGAAATTTTAATGGACAATGCATCCAATCACGTGTGTGACGTCATGATGGACACCTAAGTGGCAATACTTTTTTTTTAAAAAAAAAGCTTTACAAAACAATTTTTAAACCTTTTAGGATGAAAGGTTTAAAACTGCAATATTTTTGCTTTATTTAAAAAAGGTTTTTGGAAAAATAAAATTGCAACGTTGCCGTTAGGTTACATACTTTCTGGGATATATCTTAAACTGAAAATAAACCGCACAAGCGTAACATCAAAGTAAATAATGGTTTAATTAATTTCTTTGAAACTTGAGGTTCGTGTGGGCATCCTAATGGACATTGAAATAACGTCCATGGAATAGTAAACGGGACTTCATAATGCATTGGTCATTATAATGGAAGGATTGTACTTATGAAAATAATATTATGCGTGGGTAGTAAGGAGCGAGCTATAAACCCTATAGTGGGGTTTGAGTGTATATTAAAGACTGCCCTTAAAATGTATTTTAGGTAAAAATGAAGTTGAAAGAAAAGTCACATGGGACAGGTTCATCAAAATTCCTGTGATAAATGTCTACTTCCAATGAACTGGTTATCAATCTCAATAATCCTAGTTTGATAAAAGATTTTCAATGCCTAAATATTAACTCTTTAATCAGGGGTTTTTCGTATCATTCTTCCGGGTTTAAAAACTACGCAGGATTCCACTTAAATCAAGACCCATTAGTTGCGGACGAATCAAGAACCTTAAAATCCGAAGCTTTTTCTCGTTAAGGAGACACGCATTCTTTCACTAATTACATGAAGAATGATTCTTTTGCAAATTGGATTCTTTTGGTTTTTTCGGATTTTTGAAATATTTGGAATCTGCTAATATTTGGATTTTTATTCACACGATTTTAATATCAAACATCGATTTTAGTATGTAGTTTATAAACAATTAATTGAGACTGAAATATAAATTTCAGCATTTTGTCACCCCCCCCCCACACACACATATCCTATTGCTTTTAGGAAATATGCTTCATGAGGCTGAAAGCTATTAGAACTGAATTAATAAATTAGACTCTAAAAGTATATTTGTTTACAAATTATATTTTTTCGCATGTTTTATGTATACATTTGTTAAATTTTTTTTTATATTTATATAATTTTGTACATATTTTTGTAATTATTTTAAATGTTAAGTAAATGTGCTTGTAATCAATTCTAGAAAAAAAATCAAAATATTTTTTAGGAATGTTACTCTTTTAATTTGTGCAATGATTGTTGAATGATGTAATGATCAAACAAATAAATTGTTACATGTATTTTTACTCTCTTTTGTGTGTGAATACAAAGTGATGATGGCTAAATGTACGTCTTTTTGCTATATCTGGCAGGGCTGGCTCAAATTGAACGAAATGAAGCTAAGTGCCAAAAGCTGATGAAGCTTGAAGGAGAGTATCTACCACTACAAAAATATAATTCCAATTCACTAGTATATAAGACATGTTAACTCGGGGGTACCTTTTCATAGATGAAGGTTTGATAAGGTCTATAACTACTCTCACCACATGGGTGACCTTCGGACGTGATGTCAATGGATGGTCCACATTGAGCAGTTGTGACATTATTCACACTGTTGGTACACAGTCAAGCACAACGTATACACTCAACTGCTAACGGCAACACAGGAGCGAACTTAATACAGCTATCAGCACTCAAAAAATAGGGTGATCTCACAAAACAGCAATGGTGGTTCATCAAATTCTATTGTAGCTATAATTCTAGTGGGGGATTACTGTAGTGTACAAAAATACAATTCACTAGACTACTATAGATTCTATGGAGGGGTTTCATAGATGAAGGTTGTCTCATCGCAAGATTTTCAAATGTGGTTGCCCTTTAAAAAGAGTTCTTATAACGCAATATTTAAGGGTGAAGCATATGTGCATTCTTACAGTAAAACAGCAACTTTATTAATGTGTACTCATACATTTTAAGAGGAAAACTTCTAAATTGAATGTTTAACTTCTGGAAGTTTAGTTTTCTCTCAGACTAATTAAATCAATTGACATGTTTATGTAATTTCAATTATAAAATTCTATTCTTCAAATTTTATTGTAATGAGTTAAGTAATTACTTTTGTTAGTACATAACATCTTATTCTATTTTATAACCGTCGTTGAACAGCCGACCCAATATTATGGGTTTACGACTACTAATGTTCACCTCCGTAGCCTTGTCATTTTGAAGCCAAGGGAACTTCTGGATCGAGTATTGGGAGAAATTTGCCTTCGTGGAGGATTTTTGATGGAGCTAACCCGTATTTGCGTTACTTGGAGACCACGGTTAGCCAGACGGCAAGGGGACTCTAACCCGTCTTACCACTGAGGATATCTCACGTCAGCACTGTGGTCGGTGCAAGCTGGATTCGAACCCGGTTCGGCTCATTGGAAGGCAAAGGCTCAATACAAAATTTAACTATCCATAACATCTGTGAACAAGTTATTCAAAAAATATTTTTACAATCAGGCGCCATTGGAAAGGAGCGCACCCTCTGCCTTAAAATAGGCTTAACAAGTGGCATAAGACATAACAAACAGATGTTTGAATTTAATGAGGGATCCGACTTAAACGAAACTCTATTTTTTATCCTTTTTTTAACTTTTATAACGAATTTTTTTAATGAATGAACATTTAATTCACATGAGGAAATATTTGAGATTAAGTTCTAAGATTGAATTTTATGCAGATTTTTTATTATTTAATTCCAGAATAAAAGAGGGCTCCACAAGTTAGATAAATTTCTAAAACTATTAAAAATGAAAGTCATTTTCAACAGAGATTTTAGCGATGAATCAAAGAATTTAATGAGGAAAATTGCCACAAAGATTTAACAATTTTTGAAACAAATCATGATCCTAAAATTTATAAATTAAATTTACCATTTGTGCTAGCTGAACAAAAGTTTCTCAATAAAAACTACGCAGTTAGAATTCATACATAAAATATCCTCAGTGGTAGACCGATCATGGGTTAGAGTCCCTTGCGTAAAGCTAACCGTTGAAGGTTTTCGCGGTTTTCCTCTCCATGTAACGCAGATGCTGGTTATTTCCATCAAAAAGTACTCTACGAAGGCGAATTTTTCCCAACAATTGATCCAAGAGTTCCCTTGTCTTCTGAATTGGGTTCAAAATGACAAGGCGACGGAGTTGAACATTAATAGTCGTAAACCCAAAAAATTGGGTCGACTGTTCATCGACGGGTATAAAATAAAATGAATATTTCAAGTTATGAAATCAGGCACAACTGAATAAAAATACGTTCTCGATAAATTAGGATTAATATTGAAACCAAATAGTACATAGTTAAGGATTCTCTATATCTCGCGATCTTTTTAAGCTCGACTTTTTGTACACAGTTGTCCAAAGATGCAAAATATAGCTTTTAGTAAATATTTATTATTTTTCTATTATTGAATATTTAAAAGTGGTGGAAAAAATTTTGAACTTTTTTTACATCATTTTAAAAAATGTAATTAACATAAAAACTTTGATTTAAATCCGTCAAAAAATAAAATACCTTTAACTGCAACAATACTTAAAAAAATAATAACGTATCATTTAAGTTATCTTGTAAGAGCATTAATTGTTTTATTATTTTATAACATTATTTTAAAAAAATAGCCCATTTGCGAATATTTTTCTAAACATAAGTAGGAATTCATATGAATTAGATATTCTCAGACTCAATTTGACTTAATATTGACCAGTAATTATATAGTTTTCCTAATGAAGTGTTCGTTGAACGTGGGAATATTTTGATTATATTAATAAATTTTAATTAATCAACAAGGTACAGAACACAGTTTTTTTTAAAAAAATTGATAGATACATTCTTTTGATTTTCCTCCGTTGTTGAATTGTTTAATAAACACACACGTTTTTTTTAAACTTAGTTTTAAGGTTTAATGACTTTTTAAAAGTAATGTTTTGAACTTTAGATATTATTAAAAGTATTATGTTTTCTTAACAATATCAGATTTGGTTTTTCATAAAATTATCCATACTTAAATTTGTTTTCGGTGTTGTTTAAATATTTTAAAATTTCAAAAAAAGAAAACAAATAAAAAATAAATCCTTTTTTATTATATTATATCGATATTAGAGAACTCAGTGGTGTAATTTCTTTAAAATGTATTAACAGTGTATAAGACAAAATTAGCGGTCTTAAATTAGAAAAAAATATTATATTTCTTTCATAAAGACATTTACAAAAAATTTAATCTTCATTTAGTTGTTTTT